AATTTAAAACAATCCTTTATTCTTAACCTTATGTACAACTCAATATTCAGATGAGAAATGGAGCTAAAGTCACATTATTCCTAAGAAAACTATTACAAAATTAACAAGGAGTCCGGTGGCAGCTTAAAGTGCAAAGTGCACTGCAAATGAGTGCAAAGTGAGTGTAAAACACCATCAAATCAGAATTCGTCACTCGTTTACACCAGCAGAGGCATTTTACACCAAATCTGCACAGGTTTGATTACACACAGTCCCACAGGTGCGCGTGGCAGTGAAGAATTAGGAGAATTTGGCGGTGATACAGGCTTTAGCTCCGGTGGAGAATTGGAAGATCTGCCTAATCGGAAAAAGAGGGAAAGGAAATCTGACTGGATTGGAGAGTGGGTTTCCTGTAGTGAAAGGCAGGGTACTAGCTCACTGCATCATTTTGTCCCTGGAAATAGTGATCTTTCAATAACCTCTTGCATTTAGCTTTTCGGAACTAGAGTTGTAGACGTCAGGATTTTAAACACTTGTAATCAAACAGAAGATTCCCTCCAGTTAAGGCTTCAGCCTGGGGCCAAACCCTTTAGTTGAATACTGGGGAACCTTCCCAAACAAGCCAGCCCCATGCCCCACACACTTCCAGATCTTTGGAGAGCTCAGTCAGTCTCCCATCTGATCTGAACAGTGGGACTGACGGGCAATACATTCTGTAAATCCATCTCCGTGAAATCTAGAGGAATCTTGTATACGCTCTTCTGGCTTAACATACACTGCCATTGCTTACCCCAGCGTGGTCATTATAACATCTGTCACCATCATGCGCTCACGGGTCAGAACTTCCGCCTCTTTCACTGCAAGATCAGAGTTTATAATCAGAGGGTCTTTGCCAAAAGAAGGTATTTGCTAAACACTGAGGGGCAGATTCCTCACCCTGCCCAAACCCTGCCCTGGTACAGTGCAGATGGGGACTGCAGCTCTAATGTACATCAAGGCAGAATAAGGTTTGGTGGAGCAGAGCTCTTCCAGGCCCCACCCTGCCTTGGCCATGCCCCACCCCCAGAATGCCCTTAACATGTCCCTTCCCGCCCATCCTCTCACACCAGAGCGTGGGGGAGAGGAGGCTGAAACAAGAGATGATGGAGAATTTCTCTGCACAGCAGGAATTCTCCACTCGCCGGTCTCAGATGCTTTAAGGCAGAGATGTGATGCAAAACAGCCTTAGCAGAGTGAAGAATCCAGTGCTCCTAAAAAGCTGATGTTTGGGGCCTGTTTTCTTCCTTTTTATTCTCTTGATTGTTCTTTAGTCTCTTGTTTTGTTTATGCAAAACCTCACCACACTTTTAATCTGACACATGGCCCAAAGCCCTACACTGTAGACGTTATTCTTATATTAGGGGCATACATTCATTTTCTATCAAAGAAAAGTAATAGAGATATACCAGAATCTCTGTGAAATGTATGTACTTGAGTTGTAGTTTGTTGAAATACATTGTATTTTCACACTTGCTCTTCATTCAGCAATTATATGCACAATATAATGATGAGATACCATTCATGTACACTATATTATGTTTAATACTATAGGGAAAGTGTTTGTAATGTTGCAAAAATTTACCATCCAGAACTTCTAGGGAGGCGGTGCAGATGGATTGTCCAGCCTTGTTAGTAGCAATGCAAGTGTAGGTTCCACTATATTCCTTTCCAACATCCAGCAGGATTAGACTGTGATGCATGTTGGAACTGGCGAGTTTGTAGCCAGGAGTCTCTGGTTTGATCCACAGAACATCTTCATGAGATTCTTCTTTCAACCAGGTAATTGTGGGTGCTGGATGTCCTAAAGAAAAGAGCAATAGCCTCTTTAATTGTCCCACTGGGGTTCCTCCCGTCTTACAAACCTTGTGTACTACGTTGTGAGTGAAGACTACTTTCAACATGTTTGCTGATCCGTTTCCAATAACAGTAAAAAATCATACATGAATACTTGCACTTCTAGAGCATCTTCCATCTAAGAACTTCAAAGCACTTTACAAAAAGGATAGCCTCTAAGGATAGAACAAGAAGCAATGGGCTTAAACTGCAGAAAAGGAGGTCTAGGTTGGACATTAGGAAAAAGTTCCTGTCAGGGTGGTTAAACACTGGAATAAATTGCCTAGGGAGGTTGTGGAATCTCCATCTCTGGAGATATTTAAGAGTAGGTTAGATAAATGTCTATCAGGGATGGTCTAGACAGTATTTGGTCCTGCCATGCGGGCAGGGGACTGGACTCGATGACCTCTCGAGGTCCCTTCCAGTCCTAGAATCTATGAATCTATAAAATGAAAGATTAGTCCTCATAACACCCCTGTGAGATAAGAATGTGCTATTATCCCCATTTTATACATAGGGAAATTGAGGCAAAGAAGAGTTACACGTCTTGGCTAGCAGCATCCAAAAGTCTGTTACAAAGATGGGAACAGAACCCAAATCTTCTGATTCCTACACTAGGTAAGGACTTCAAGATTTGGCCCAATGAGAGGATAGGATACACTGGGCAGCTATGCAAATTAAGTAACACAGAATGAAAGTTGTGTTTAAGCTCCGTTTACCTTCAACCTTCACAGAGAAGGTGATACTTGCACCTTTCCTCACTCTTTTACTGGTAAATCTCTCCAGGAACCTGGGTGGCACCAGCTGTTCTTGAGCATCTGAAAATAAAAAGGTCATGGTGAAATGGTGCAAGTGAGGCTAAGACTATTGAGAAGTTACTAGTGGTTCTATTATCACCGATTGTGCTGCTCCTCTCACCTGTTTCTGGCAGTTCTTCCTTCTCACCAGGACCTGTAACACAGAAAGACAAATCATCCCATCATGAAACTACATCTATAGAGAGGACAAATGTCTCCTTTCTGTGACTTATGCAGTCAAGCATGTGGTCAGGTGATATCAGAGACTTACTCAGTACAATATGGACTACACATAAATTATATTTTTACTAAAAATTGTTATTCATCTCGTTAGTAGAATACATCTAAAAGCCATTTTATAATATAAATGACACGTACAGTAACTCAGCATAAGAGTGACTGAAATCTGTTTTAAGCTTCAATTAATATATCATATATTTGGACAAAGATCATTTTGATAAATTACATCAGAAAAACATTTGGCCATAAATTACTAACTCCATGAGTACTGATATTTAATAAATAATAATAATAATAATAATAAAAACACCACAGTGGCTCTATGCCTATCTGCTTCTACAATTGAGACAAAACTCAACCCTTATTAAAAGTACTGCAGTATTCTGCAGTTATGGCCTCAGATATGGACCATATCATACCCTTAGTTTTTAAGCACAATTCCCCAGTGAAGGCATTGAGGACAATGGAGTTAGACTGCATGTGCAAGTAAGATCAGAATCAGGTCAACAGAGAGGTGTTATGACTTCCCTAAGGACACAGTGGAAATCCATGGATGAGCCAGGAATAGAACACAGGTTGCCTGACTCTCAGTCCAGCGCTCTAAACACAAAACCATCCCTCTACCCTTGGTTTATAACCCATTTTATTTTCCAGAATATCTTGCTTTCTATAGGCTTTATCGGGAAAAGTGAACATGTAAAACAGAGATAGCCACTGGCAGATAGAGCAAAAAGCACCAATAACTTACCTTTGACAACCAAACTGGCCGATGAATATGCAGAACCTGCAGAGTTGCTAATAAATACTGAGTATTGACCAGCATCCTCCTTAGCGACATTGAGGATTTCGAGTGCATGAAATTGCTTCTTCTCAATCTTCAGGATTCGGTCTGAGGCCTGTAATGGTTGCCCATCTTTGAACCAGTAAAGACGAGGTTCTGGGTACCCTACAAGGAGCAATGTAAGAAGGGGTGACTTTAACTATTTTGGAGCCTCTCAAACCAAATCATACACTTCAGTGTAATCAAAGAAAGGTCCATTCTTACCAATGCTGTTTGTTCAAGGTTCTACAGTGTCTGTTTGGAAACTAACCTACCTACAGAGAGTAGCTCGAGTCTGATATTTGTGAAATGCTATTTATGAATTAAAATTCTATTACGTGCTTTTCAGGTTCTAATTCTGCCCCCATCACGTTGATATCTGAGTGCCTTCCAGAGTTAGAATGCTGATATTTGGATCTGATTTTCTACAAATACAAAGCCAAATCCTGAAATCCTTACTCAGACAAAATTCAGACTGAAGTCATACTTTGCCTGCATGGGGACTTCGAGATCGGCCTCACGGCCATTTAAGCCAAAACAGTCTCCACTCTTTCCATGGGCAGGAGCAGAACAACCCAGTAAAAGTGCTCCAGGAAAGCACAAACGGGGGCAGTGACATCTCTGTAGTTTTTCTCCTTTATCCACCCAGATGTTGTAGGCGTTTCATTGTGAAGTCAGGGAAATACACAGGTGGAATGGGTGGGCTAGTGGAGGAAGGATCTAGGTTACAGAGGTGGGTTGGGTACACATCTACAGTGTAGGTCTTCTGTAGAAGAGGGACAGGAGATGGGACAACAAGAGATCCCAGAGCCGGGGCGGAGGCACTGGGCCGTTGTGTGGCTTTTGGGGAAATCTGCTGGTTTTGGGGGACAAACCACCTTTTTGGATAACAACCCCCCTCCCGTCCCCCTGCACACTGATGGAAAGATCAAAAAGAAAGCACCATGACTTAGCAAAGCTTTCTGTGCCCTATATAGGCTTATCCCAAGTAGCAGACAATTTGGGCCTTAGTTACTATCGCTTGAACTAATCATTGCATAGTACATCTACCCTGAAAATCAATGGTTCATATTGGTAAGCATTATTTTTAAAAAGTAGCATGCTCACACTGTACTTTTCATTCCTGGCACCACAGCAATTAATGCATTCAGAGACTAGCTGATCTTCATGACCTAAAACCTACAAAAATGGAGTTACAGGACTAGATTTCCAGAAACGCGTGCATGCAATTAATCATTGCAGATATGAGCACATAACTGAATACTTACTTTGCACGAACTATTGCCCAGTTAGGTGCTGGTCATTTGCGCATACACACACTTGTGACTGCCATTTCAAATGTGCTATTTGAGTGCACAAATTATGAGCACAACTGCATGCAAAAGCATATGAGAAAACCTTGTCCACACGTTCACAGATATCAAGATGGGACTATTGTAAATGTCATAGGTTCCCTTACCTTTGACCTTCAGGTGAAATTTAGCCAAAGGTGCTCCAGGGGCCACGTGAATATCATGAAGCTCATCTAGGATCTGAGGCAGCTGCTCCTCTTCTGTGGTGGATTCTACTCCCTCTTGTTCTCGGCTAGGTATAGATTAGAGTCGGAAAGAAAGGAGGAATTGGCATATACCATTTTAGGCTCTAGAGAGGAGTGCACTCTAGTAGGCACAGACTCTTCTTCGACTCCCCCCAAGCATGATCCCTTCTGCTCAATTTCCTCCAACCTGCCCATGTCGCAGTCTTTTCTCTTTCCCACCGCTGGCGCTCGCACTCCCAGTCGCATTCTCCTCAAGTTTCTCATCCCAGTCCCAGTCTCCTTGTCCCGTCAGTCTACGTTACCTCCCTCCTGACTCCTCATCCAATCTGTTTCTCTCTTCCACCTGGCCTCCAGATGCCTCCCCCTTTTCTCCACCCCACTGGCTCCCAGTCCTAATCTTCCTCTCTGGGCTCTTAATCTAATCTCAGGGTCAGCCCTTTGGCTCCTTAACCCAGTCTCCTTCCCCAGCCACTCCCAGTCTCCCCCTGCTTCCCAGTCCCGGTATCCTCCCTACCCCAACTTCCAGTCCCCTGCCTCCTTCTATACCCCTTGTACCAATCTACTCTCCCCACCACAAGTACAGCTCTTGTCCTCACTGCATTCAAATCAGGCAGCTTCCTCCTCCACACCACCTGGGCCCAGCACGGGAGTCATTTAGAGCACGGGAGAGACAGTCTTGCTGTTTTCAATGCAGGTGCCCAGACCCAACATGGCCCACAGCAGCCAGGCCCAAGTATGGATGGAACCTTTATTGACTTTAGCTGATAAGTTCTAAGGAGTCTCTAATGAGCCTGCGTGAACTGGGATTTTTCAAAGGCTTATCAATTGGTCAAATTTGGGTAGATTTTCATAAGGACTGCAAAAGACACATCCCTGACAAAAGGGTAACACCCCACCCTCTGCCAAATTTCAAGTTCCTGCTTCAAATCATGGGAGCACTAGAGCTTTTAAAAACAAAGGTAGTCAGAATTTATTTTTTTTTAACATTGTCAAAATAACCCCCACTCCCCAAGCCCCATTCTCAGAAATGACCGAACCAATTTGGCTACAATTTAGGGGGGAAAAAAAAGAATCAGGCTAGGCAGACACTTGGGATGAAAAATTTTAGCCCAAATGATAAAACTTTGGTAAAGTCATAAGCAGCTGAAACCAGGGTCTTATAATGGGAATTGTTGGGCAACCTGAATAACAGGCAGTGTTACCGGCCCCATTCACAATACAAGCTTTTTATCTGTACATCTCAAAGTGTTTTACAAAGGTGGGAAAGCAGCGTTATCCCCACTTCATAGATGAGGAACCTATGGCACAGACGTTAAGGAAACTGCCCGAGGTCACACAGCAGATCAGTGCCAAAACAGGGAACAGAACCCCAGGATTCCAGCCATTCTACATGTGGCTGAAAAGTAAAATCAGACACGCGTTAAATCCCATCGAAAACAATCGGCTAAAATCTCAATTGTGGCCAAGATGCACCAGGCACTGCTGAGGGGTTAGGGACAAAGAGGACTCTAAGATCTAAAGGTGATTCTGGATTGGATCTCAGGAACAGCCAGAGCTATCCCGGTCCCTGGCATAATTAAGAGAAGCCATGAGCAACCTGCTGCCAATGACCCCTAATGGTCAGCCCGGAAGCCAGTGCAGCAGTTTCCGCTTCACCCTCTTTTCCTGGCCACTCCCAATCCCAGACTGAGGACTGCATTACACCAGGAAGGAATTCCCAGTGTGCTGAAGCAGCCAGGCTGCGGGCTGTTTTGCACTGAGGGAGCAGCACAAAGCAGACACAACAGGGATGTTTCACTGTAACCAAGCCCACCATAAGCAGGTACCACTGACATGAAATTATATTCACAGATTACCATAGCCTTTGCTTTACCACCGTAATGATCGTGGTTGTCTGATTCCCACTGAACCCATCTACATCCAAACACTCATGAATAAAAATTAGCATTGTGCCATGTTTTCCAGTCACCGCAGCTCTATCATTCATCTTTTACCTTGAGAGATATCCTTTGGCACTGTAATACGAAGATGTCTCTGTTGCATCTGCTGCTGTATCGTAATCAGTACTGGTCACTGATAAAAGAAAAATGGACATTCTCCATGATCCACACTTTGTAACCACGGCAGTTCATAACAGTTATAGCTAAAGGTCCTTGCAGGTTCTGAAATTTCTTTATTGGGAGCAACAGCAGCCTCCGTGATCCCCCTTCTTAATACTCATTCATCTCCACCCACTCGACCTGATGCCCCCTCCAGACAAAGGACAGCTGGACGTGTCTCCCTTTGAGCCCCACCAATGCTACTGCAAGAGCCAGAGAGCATTGCAAGAGAGAGAAGCCACACACGTTTTTCCCCAGGAGTGAGTGTGCTGTCTCCGTAATGCTTACAGCCTTCGCGGAGAGAGAGGGAGCTGGGAACCCAGGGTCAGATCACGATGCACTGGGAATGGCCCCATGGTGCATTTCTCATGTGAGATTTCTCCGATCTTTGGGAATGAATGTGCAGTGCTCGGCAACTAACTAATCCAGTTACACGGGTGACAACGTTGCCAAAAGCTGCATCACCCTCAAACACAGGTCACGATAATAGGAGAAAAAACACCCCACAAAATCATTAAGCTTACAGCTACTTCATCTACATTTTAATTAACAAAACCCCAATTATCCCATACGAAAGGAGTAAAAAAACCCAAGTGAACTGATTTTACCTCTCACGTATCATTTTCCTGCCAATGAGATTCACTTATTCAGATCAGCCAGAATAAACATGTATCTTTATTCAACACCATTCACGCTCCCCTATTAATATTATGCATAATATTATAACAAATGTGCAAATATGCATCTTATTCAAATACCACTCACACGCCCCATTAATATTATGAAACATTTTGTTTCATAACATTGGGTCTTTTCAATCATTCCTCAAGACTCACAGTCCACCCGCAACTCCGCCTTGCTTGAAGAAACTCCCATGTTGTTTTCAGCAAGGCAGCGGTAGACACCCATGTCAGTAGGGACCACGGCGGTGATGATCAGTTGGTGGCACCCTTCCTGGTCCTCGTTGATCATATAATGGTCATCTTCTTCAATAACTTTCCCATCCTTGAACCAGCGCACCGTGGGTAAGGGTTTGCCAACAACAACACAGTCAAAGCTGACTGGGTAGCCGTCCTGCACCTCTTGGTTTTGAAGCTCGGTTATGAACATGGGAGCTGAATATGGTACAGTTGGAAGAGAGAAAAGGAAACAACCAGCTGTGTTAATTGGTAAAGATGCGTTTCAAGAACGCTGCTGTGCAGTGTGTGAGAGGAAGGGACTCGCAGTGATGGCTGGCACATTTTAAAATAATAGAGAGGTGCCCTTCCTACATAATATAAACAGCAAAGAAGTAGCTTAGGTTGGGAATTTTCCAGTGAAATGTTTTTTCATCAGCAAATGCCACTTCCTCAAAACCCAAAATTTTTGTGCGAAAGGGTCAGTTTTGACATCTTTTATGACTTGGAAAATGTTTGAACTGTTTTGAATGGTGTAGTTTCAACATTTTCTAAAAGACAAATTCTAGTTTTCCAATTCTAAATGGAGTTTTGTTTCAAAATGCCAGTTAATTAGAGTAAAAAAAAATTGAAAATGGTCAAAATCAAAACAAAATGTTTTGAAATTATCAAAACAAAACATTCCAAAATCATTGAAAGAAAACATTTAGATTGACGCAAAAGGATTTTTTTCTGATTTCCAATTCATGAAAATTTTCAAAGATTTTGGCTTTTTGCCCCTATTCAGGACTGGAAAATGTTTTGATAGCTTGAAATCTTCAAGGAATGGGAAAACCGCTTTCCACCCCCGTCCCCAACTCTACTCAGTAGAATTTTCCTTATAAAAAGGACTCATTTATTCTCCAATAGCTGTTCCAGACACTGCAGCATCACTACTCTAAGCTAAAGCTGGGGTCAAGTCCCTCCCTCTGTAAAACAGGCTGAGAATGTTCTCAGAACTGCTTCGTTAACTGATGCTTTCAAAGCATTGTACGGATGCTATTGTGTGTTTTGTTATTAGGGTGAGTAAAAATTTTTCCCTCAAAACATTTTTACAATGCCAAAAGGATTTTTGACTAAATGGAAATTTTAGTAAAATATAAAAATTTCTGTTTTCAGGTTTTCAACCCCTCAAAATGTTAAAGAAAATTGTTGTGAGGAAAAATAATTTCTGAGTGAGCTCTAAATATGATTATTAAATAAGAAACTAGCATGCCTTGCTAACCTGTATCAGAAGTCAGTAAAGGTGGGGGAGTTCTTTTCACCAAGGGCTGAATCTGCCCTGGAGCAGGTGGTGCTGCTTTCCCTATGCGAAGCTCTATTTTTTTAAGGCCTTGGTCCAGGATGTCAATCTCGACTGGGATACCCAGCGCAGCAAACATCTCTCTGAACCGGCCGGCTGCTGTTTTTGCTTCCGCCAAGATTTCAAACTTGATGTAGATGTAGTGATCATCCTCGCGATACGTCTGGTGATCCACCACCTCCACATCCCCTTCATCCGCGCTGACAAAGAGCTCCTCCTCCACATCAGACATTTCCGTTGAGATCTTGGACTTGAAGAGCTTGTGAAGTCTCCTTCCTGCTTTACGGAACGCATCGTCCAGTTCGCTGCCAGAAGAGCTCTCTGTTTCGCTGTCAGCGAGGTGTTTCACTTGCTTGTGCTTACGAAGAGCATCCGGCGCCTGGGTACCAACCACCACCTTAGCACTCTGGGAAACCTTGCCAAACTTATTAGATGCCTCACAGGTATATTTTCCTGTGTCTTTCATGTCCAGGCCAGTGATAATCAAGGAGCAAGTTCCATCACTGTAATTGTCTATGTGATAGTGGCGCCCATCTGAAAGTTCCTCATTGTCTTTCAGCCAACGGACCTTCATATCGGTTTTGCTGAGAGCCACACACTCAAGGTGGAGAGTGCCTCCTGGCTCACCACAAAAATCTTTGAAGGTATCGCCAAACACGGGACATTCCTGCTGTTTGATCTCCTTCCTCACTTTATACCCTTTGAAAGCAGCCTGAATTTTCACAGCTGCTTTGGTCATGGAAGGATCATCTAAATCTTCCATGATTTCTGGTTCAGCAGGCTTGGCAGGAAGAGAAGACTCAGTAGTCTCGACGCCCGATTGCTCCCAGTGTTTCCAGAATTTACTGGTGGAGACCGTCTGAACCTTGCTACCAATGCTAACAGTAGATTTTCCGGCCTTTTTAAGGTAGTTAACTAGTGAAGGCGTCCCAGCCCTAGACTCATCATCTGAGCTCGTGAAAGAGAAGTCTGCTTCTCCAGTTTTAGTCAGCTCATCACAGGTGGAGTATTCTTCTGAGTAATAATGAGACTCCGCTTCTTCCTTCTTCAGCTTATGAAGTTTATCATCCTCTTCTGGCACTTCACTGATGGAATCCAGGGTTGGCTCCCTGCTCATTCTTCGCTTCTTGGCAATAGCCTCCCAGAGCAGGTGAAGGTCCCCCTCCTGAGCAGCTTCGGGCGGCAAGCTGGGCTGGAGCTGTCCATCCACCATCTCTTCAAGTTGAATCACGTCCCGTGCTTCCTGGGCTACCTCTTTTGGCAGTGCCACTGTGGGAACTAATTGGGAGTCAGTTAGTAAAACAGTAAGAAGAAGCATGTGAATCAGGCAAGAGAAATCACATGAAAATGTTACTCCAAATCCAGGCAGTAAAATATCACTGAAATTAAAATTAACCACTGCATTTTAGCCATAAAGCAAAAATCATATATGTTAGAAAGAAAACATGGCCAAGCCTTGAACAAATTCCCCCCGTCCCCCAGGCAGAAAAGTGATGGGCCAAATCCTGCCTTTGTTTGTCTGTGCAAGCCCCCAATGTCTAACCCAGCTTCTTATATGCAGTCACTTTCTGAAACTAAAAGCTGTCTAGCTTTCTGCTGAATATACCCCATGGAAACAATGCCCCACAGGACCTGCAGTGAAAGCCATAGGAGGTAATAAGAACATCAGAATGGCCATACTGGGTCAGACCAATGGTCCATCTAGCCCAGTATCCTGTCTTTCACCAATGACCAGTGCCAGATGCTTAGAGAGAATGAACAGAACGGGGTAATTTATCAATGATACATCCCCTGTTGTCCAGTCCCAGCTTCTGGCAGTCAGAGGTTTAGGAACACCCACAGCATGGGGTTGTGTGCCTGATCAACCTGGCTAATAGCCATTGATGGACCTATCTTCCATGAACTTATCTAGTTCTTTTTTGAACCCCATTATATTTTTGGCCTTCACAACATCCCCTGGCAATGAGCTCCACAGGCTGACTGTGTGTGTTGTGAGGAAAAAGTACTTCCTTATGTTTGTTTTATGTTACATCCCGGATCAACCTGCAGAAGATCAGTGAAAACATGTATTGTAACAACACACTGATTCTCATTGGAGAATTTGAGAGGAAGTCACACATTCTTCACCTGTCTCCACTTAATGCATTTGTCTGGGGGCGCAGAAAAATATTTTCCAGTACAAACGGTTTTGTAAACACTATTTTTTATCTACATTATGTATTTTCAACTTGACTAATGCCATTAGGAAAGTGTAGCATTTTTTTTAAGAGGTGCCCTGGCACCGAATGGGAAAAGTCTAAATTGCAATGTAAGAATTTTTTGATTTTTAAGAATGCTGCCTCTCTGCCTCAGAGTTGCAGCAGCCTGTCCTAGAGGAGATCCATGTCCTGTGCTCTCTCACTGAGACTTTTCTTTTGCTCTTTCTCACCATTTTTCCTAACAGGAAAGTAATTCAGAATGAAAGCATATGGTTGCCTCTTGCGTAGGGAATAAATACACTTACCCTGCTTTGACTTTGATTTCCCTCCCTCTTGAGGAATCCAATAAACTCAATTTTAATTCTTTCCCACCATCCTTGGTCTCAAGTGAGGATGTGGCAAAAAAGCATTTGAGGAATCTTCGAATGTGGTGAACACCATTTTTCTTATCGTGTTTTAATTTACCTACAGCTTGTCCGATTAAGCTCAAAAAAAGCTAGAGACTTATTTTCCTTCTTTAAATGAAAGCTCACCAGTAGGTCTCCAGCAGACATCTGGTGACCCTTTTTACGTCTGTGGGAGCCAATGAGACACTTGGACATCACAATTTAAAATCTTAATGACTTACAATTAGAGTTTAATCAACAGTCTTGAGCACTAGGATGTGGCTATATTACTCCAGTGAACTAAAATGTCTCACTTCTGTTTTTGTGTGTGTTTGGGTTTTATTCTTAGCTATAAAGTGGCAAAAAAGTTTTGGACTCTGGTGAATGTGTCCATTTTTAAATGTATCATTGATAAGGAAATGCTTGTCTGATCACTTCAAAACCCATAGACAAATTCTACCTCGACAACAGACATGATGTCCTAATTTTGAGGCTGATATGTCTTTGCTTGTGGATTTAGCAGGAGGAGAAATATTGAGCTTATAATGGAAACTGAATTCCAATCTTAACAATGGAGAGGCTATTGAGTATCCTTAATTAGAACTAATAAAAACTCTCAGATACACACTTTTTGTACCTTCAAGAGACAGAAGAGCAGAGGATCTGGTATCAGGAGAGATCATGCAGGTGTACAATCCTTGATCTTCAGGTTTAAATGCATGAATAATGAGCATCTGCTTTTTGCCATCAGACTTTATTTCATATCTTCCTCCAGGCTGTAGTTGTTCTTTTCCTTTGACCCAGATTGCCTCTTGGGTCTCTCTTGAAAATTCACACTCCAGGACAGCCACCTCCCCTTCCAAGACCGACTTGCCTACTAAGGGATGAGTGACTGTAAATGGAGGCTCTGCAATGATAAAAATTAGGGCATTAAAATCAATGAATGCACCTCTGTCTGCTTTATGGACCCCAGAAGGGGGGGAAATTAGAGTCTGTGAAGCATCCAAGCTTTGAATGTTGGCGTTTTAAAATTTTTGTTCAACTGTTGCAGCCAGTCATTGGAAGGTAAAATGGAAAAACTGCTGTAATTTAGAGTTTACAACTTCTAAAGCTCTCCAAGAAGATTAGATCGCATTAGTTTACAGCTACATGCAGAAGCCATTGCGCTTTCCCCCCTTATGTTTCTGTACTTATAGGTCCTCACTAAGGGTATGTCTACACCCAGCCGCTAGTTCGGCGGCTGGGAATCGAAGTTCTGGGTTCGACTTATCGCGTCTTGTCTGGACGCGATAAGTCGAACCATGAAGTGATCGCCATCGACTGCGGTACTCCAGCTAGACGAGAGGAGTACCGCGGAGTCGACGGGGGAGCCTGCCTGCCGCATGTGGACCGAGGTAAGTTCGAACTAAGGTACTTCGAATTCATCTACGTTATTCACGTAGCTGAAGTTGCGTACCTTAGTTCGAATTGGGGGGTAAGTGTAGACCAAGCCTAAGGCTACAATTTTGTCATGAAGGTCGCGGAAGTCACGGAATCAGTGACTTCCAGAGACCTCCGTGACTTCAGCCTGCGGCGGCTGGGAGCTACAGGGCCCCCCCGCTGCCTACAGTGGCCAGGAGCTGTGGGGGCCCCTGGGAGTTCTGGGCCGCTGTGGGTGGTGTGGGGACTCTGCAGATGAGCTCCCCAGTTTGTCACAGATATTTTTAGTAAAAGTCACGGGCAGGTCATGGGCTTCCATGAATTTTTCTTTATTGCCCGCGACCTATCTGTGACTTTTACTAAAAACATCCATGACAAAATCTTAGCCTTAGTCATCACCCACTCTTGCCAAGTCTCACACACAATCTCATACACCCCACCAAGACCTAGCCCATAGTAGCTTTACAATTCCTGTACGCTCGAAGCATAAATTAGAAGCGTAGAGCCAGCTGAAGTGGCGCCCCCTTCAACTTTTGAAGAAAAGATCCAACATAGAAAAAAGATTTTGAAAGTTGCCTCCATCTCAGGTTTTGAAAAACATGATAAAACCTTCACTCTTGTTACTAATGACTGAGCCAGCAGCTCTTAAATAGTGAGAAAATGTCTTGTTGTGTTCATCACTTTGACAGATGACCTTCTAATAACATGACAGCTGCATGGCACCAGTATTTAAAATGCACCCGAGTTCAGCCAGACTTGACTGAAGAAAGAAACATGGGCAAATATGTTTTTTAAATGTTCTTTTCCCCCTCTTAGGAATTTAACTTACCAGGGGGTTTCAAAAAAGATAAGAAGAAACTATACAAAGCACACAGGCACCATTGCAATAGAATGTAGACAGAGGCTTTACAAGAAAACAACTTAGAGGTAACTGAAATGATGGCTCCCTCTCTCTCCATGACCACTGGGGTTTCACAAATAGTCACTGAAGCAACTGTGAATTGGTACCCACAGGTACATTGTCAAGGTGTTAAATTACAAGAGATATACAAATATCAGAGAGAGAGAGAGGCATTTTAAGGAGGAAACACTGCCTCTCCCTTGCATGCGGAATAAAACTCTCGCTTGCCATCAGCCACAGTAACATAGCCATTCCAGCATGCCCTGCCTCAGTCATTACGTCTGGTCTCCATGAGAAAAGAATCTTATGTTGATCAGATAAAACTCGGAGATGCATGGCAAGCCATGAGACTGAGTGCTGCGGTATGGAGAGAAAGATGTCAAGTAGATAAACAACACAGCAGGTTTCGCTTTGCTTCTGCCCAAAACAATTTACCAACCTTCTCTCCAAGACTCAGAAGCACCGAACTATGCTATAGTGTGGACACTTCGCTCTCATGAGAGGTCCCTTGAATGTGCAGGGCTGCCTGGGGGGGGGGGGCAAGTGGGGCAATTTGCCGCAGGCCCCGCAGGGACCCCCACGAGAATATAGTATTCTAGAGTATTGAAACTTTTTTTTATGGAAGGGGCCCCCAAAATTGCTTTGCCCCAGGCCCCCTGAATCTTCTGGGCGGCCCTGTGAATGTGTGATGCAGACACAGGGTGACCAGACAGCGAATGTGAAAAATCAGGACGGGGGTGGGGGATAATAGGAGCCTATGCAAGAAAAAGGCCCAAAAATCAGGACTGTCCCTATAAAATCGGGACAGCTGGTCACCCTAAGCAGACATGCCATGCGAAATACAGGCCTATAACAGCTCTCAGTGCATTACGGGACTTCTCTAATTCTCACCTAGCTGCACAGTTTGAGGTAAATGCACTGGTTCACCAGCACCAACTTTGTTTACAGCTGAAATGCGGAACCTGTAGGGTTCGCCTGGTGAGAGATTGTCCACAACAAACTCCGTGTTTTGAATAAGTTCCTTGTTGCATTGCTGCCAGCCACTGCCAGGTGTTTTCCTCTCAACATTGTAGCCTAAGATGCCACAGCCACCATTGCTCAGCGGTGTGAACCAGGACAGAGTTACCGAGCGACTGCTCTTACTTAAAATCTCTGGATCTTCAGGGGGATCAGGGAGGGCTGAGGGAACAACAGAGTTCCAATGATGTATAAAATAAGTGCTGTCGCTTTTTAGTGAGATTACAAATAAGCCCTCATTATAAGCAATAAGGAGAAATCTAAGTGCACGTTCAGTATCTTTCTCACCATGAATCGGAGCTGCGTTGTGCCGATGAAAATCAGACACATCTTCGCACAATTGACAACTCTCTGCCGACCTGTGCTGCACCGTAATCTATGGTCGGGGGGACATATAGCGCAGGGTGGAATTTTTCAGGTGAATAGTTTTTTCACACAAAAATGCATTTTTGGCTGATCCAAAAATACTGGCGAACATGACCTAATTAATACCGTTTGGGAAAAAGGTTTTCCTGACCAGCAAACGCTGTGTCTGAATCTGTCCTTAGCCTAGCGGTTAGGTCACATGCCTAAGATGAGGGAGACCCAAGCTTGAATTCCCACTCTGGAGCAGGTCACCTCCTCCCAGGTGAGCTGCCTGGCTATAGACTATTCTGGGGTATGGCTGCTCTCAATCTCTCCTGTTGAAACTGTTCCACTTTGTATAAACACTTACATAGTCATTGGGCCAGAGCGAGAATGTGAGGATGACTATACCCTGCATTCACCTAAGAGGTAGGAGACGTGGCTTCAAATCTTCTCTCCCTGTGATTCAAAGCAGGGATTCAAACCTCAGTCCATCACAAGTGCCCTAGCCACTGGGTTAAAGGTTATAAAGGGGACCCACACATATTTGCTGGCCTGAAACTGACTTTTCCAATTTGCCTACCATTTCCGAAAGTTTTCAGAACCAAACTGAATATTTTCCTTGATTTTGCGATTTCCAGGCAAAACCAAAAAAAAAAAAAAAAATCAATTATTCACCCAGCTCTAGTGACAAGCAATAAAGTCACTGCAACCACATTAGATCTCCTAAAGTTTACCATGGAACCTTCCCAAGTCTTGTGATTTTTAATGCCATCTTGTCCAATCAAAGATAAAGTAGAGATGAGCCTAAAGCTCCAAAGATCAGGTCAGAATGTGCCCAGAGATCGGGGATGGTCAGCCCCAAACGTTAGTTACAGTCCATCTCTAATGGAAATGGAGTCATCACAGGATTGCACAATAACTCTCGTAAATCTCACGGAAATTGCTGCCATACTTGTGCAACTACTGTGTGGCTCTCCATGTAAACCAGCAAATAAAGCATAAACACATGAAAACATTGGAACTGTGTCCCTGCAGACTACTTGGGGACTGATCATTACCCTCAGCATATCCATAAGGATTTATCATGCAATATACATTCTGGTTTAGAAGACAGAAATAGCTCTCTTTAGTCTGAAACTACATGGGTTTTTTCCAAGAAAATTACCTGTGGCACTGCAATATCTCTTACTATGAAATTAAGGGTCAAATTAGGCTATAACTTGGCCTCTAATTTTGGGCACCCAAAACCTCCAATTTGACTGTGCAAGTCTTGGATTCACAATTTATCAGTTTCTTGTTTGGGTTTACATCTACAACTCCCAAAGTCTAATAACCCGTTTTGCATGCCCAAATGCTGTTTTCTTACACACCCCAATTGTGGGGTTCCTAAAATTTGGAAGCCATTATTGAAAATTTGTCCCATAATGACAAACAGGACCTAAAAGGTCAACAGTTCATTTGTTATTAAATATGAGCAACAAGATATCTGTGCACTGTGAAGTAAAATATTGCTATACATCAATCAGATTGACCACGGAAATCTAGAATAAAATAGCACATTTTGAAGTGCTTCTATTTTCTTGGTAATTTTTCCTCACTGACTGTAATGCAATTTTCCCTAAGGCTGGTAAGTTTGCAGAGTATTATTTTAAATAAAGATAGAGAGAACTTGCTCAGAAAATTGGTTTCTCCACAAGTATGTACAGTTCTAGTTAGTACTTAAAGAAGAATGGTAGGTTACAAAATGGTGGATTTCAGCTAAGGTAACACTGAAAAGAAGATCTCATCACTAGTTGGTTTAATTTTCATTTCATGAGACAGTCAGAGCAGAATAGCACAGCAGCAATTTATCAAACCTGAGAAACCTGGCGTGTGTGCCTGTGGGAAGGAGAAACAGAAAACAGCACAGATGTAAGAAAATCAGAGTGACAGAGCTCAATCCTGTAGGCTGAGAAGCATAGAATCATATGGTTAGAAGGGACTGGAAGGGTCATCTAGTTTAACCCCCTGCCAAGCTGCAGGATTTGTTGTCTAAAAACCACCCAAGACGGATGGATCTCCAGCCTCCTTTTGAAAACCTCCAGTGAAGGAGCTTCCACAACCTCTCTAGGCGTCTGGTCCATTGTTCTACTGTTCCTACAGTTAGGAAGTTTTTCCTGAGATTTAATCTAAATCTGCTATGCTGTAGTTTTAACCCATTGCCTCTTCTCCTGCCCTCCGTGGTGCAAGTGCCAATGGCTAGAATTGGCAGAAACGTTCACTGGATGGACCTACCTATTACAGATAACGTGGCTGATGCAATTGCATCCCTTGCAGCAAAAGTCACCTCTCCAGCATGATGTGGTTGGGCTTTCTTCAGGATCAGTTTGTAGCTGTCTCCATCTGCCTGCATTTCCCAGTTCTCGTCTGGTTGGATATCGATGTCATTAATATACCAGGCGACTTCGCTGACTGGCACTGCTTCACTTAAAACACAGCTGAGGGTGGCTTGGGCCCCAGCAGTGACTTCAGTGTCAACCAAAGGCTGCAAAATTTCCAGGCGCCATCCTGCAGTTAAAAATATGTAATCAAACCCCAAGATACTGAAGCAAAGATTAAGTGTCAAGATTTATACTTAATGTTCTTGATGAATCTTTCGACAGCTAGACCACATGGGCTGGCAGAAGAGCCTGATGGGTTTTCTGAGGTCTAGGTTATGCAAACTGGTTAGAGGTGGCAGAAATCTTAGAAGCTGAACTGCCAAAACTATCAGGAAAGCTCCTTCAGATCTGTGTGCTGTAGCCTCCTGTTTTTGTCCCGCTTTAGCCCTGATTCTGCATGCTCATGTGTAGGTGGATCCCTTTAGCACCAGGATAGCGCCCCAGTGACTTTAAAGTGGTTCTGCACAAGTAGAGTCCATCTGTGCCAACAGGTTTCAGGAGAGGGGCCTTTATTGATTATAGGGGTCCTTTTCCCAGTTTTAGCCAAGAACTTCAAAAGCACTTTTCTCACTTGTGTAACGACCCAGCCATTTGCATAGTTTGCAAATTAATTCCACTCAGTAACAGACTTAAAGGTGGCAATTTTGCCACAGAAAAGCTTCAAAAGCAGACTCCAACGAGAAACTGCTGAACTGGAATTAATTTGCAAACTAGATACCATTAACTTGGGCTTGAATAGAGACTGGGAGTGGCTGGGTCATTACACAAATTGAATCTATTTCCCCATGTTAAGTATCCTCACACCTTCTTGTCAACTGTCTGAAATGGGCCATCTTGATTATCACTACAAAAGGTTTTTTTTCTCCTGCTGATAATAGCTCATCTTAATTAATTAGCCTCTTAGAGTTGGTATGGCAACTTCCACCTTTTCATGTTCTCTGTATGTATATATATCTTCTTACTATATGTTCCATTCTATGCATCTGATGAAGTGGGCTGTAGCCCAGGAAAGCTTATGCTCAAATAAATTTGTTAGTCTCTAAGGTGCCACAAGTACTCCTGTTCTTTTAACAGGAATTAGGGTTTGCTCTGGATCAGATGTTCAGTTTTTTTCATGGAACATGCCATTTGGCACATAACATTGTGAGACACACGATGCCCAGATGTGAAATGGAGATTATGAGAGTGTAGCCAGCCAGGTGCACTTATGCTCCTAAGAATTATAAAGAAATGTTGCGTAGATAAATGAATATGCTCCTCTTTATAGCTAGTTGAAATAATTTGGTTGGACGATTGAGATAGGTACTTTGTACAACTGTGCAAGCTGTGACTGTGAATCCATTTCCCGCCAACAAAAAACTAATATTTTGTGCATGTCGTGAAGATTAAAGATCTATCTGAGCCCCGAGATCCCAAAACATTATTTTAACTCTACATCCTGTATAAGGAGCTTGATTAATTTCTGTCTGCGGGAGAAGCAGATGGGGGAAATGACGGAAATGCATGGAAAGCATGGAAGGTGCACTGATAAGTTTACGGAAAACATACTGTTCCATCACAATAGAAAAGAAGCTAAGATCACCATAGATAGAAAAGAATTAGGAGCTGTGGGGGAGTATAGCTACCCAGTCCAGCTGAGGGATGCTATTCCTCACCAAGAAGATAGACTGGAGGGAAACAAAACTGTGGAAAACCTTTGAAAGATAGAAGAAAAAGTTCCACCTCTGTTTAAAAGTTAGATTTTTAACACTGGTGTACCACCAACCCATGAGCTGATAATTAACAAACACTACAACAAGAAGGTTTGGAGAGCAAGCTGGAATGTGAAGCATGAGAAGAGGTATGCATGGCTTACATGGAAAAATATGAAAGCACATAAATGGATAAGAGAAAGAAACAAGATGAAAGGCCAGTTGAAAACTCTGATGAATCGAAAATTGCATTGAGCTTCCAGTAGCTGAACTATAAGGAAGGCTAAAAGACATAGTATACTTACAACTGGCAACCGAAAGACGAAGATGGAGAGACATATCCAACATGTTTGCAACCTATGTGGTTACATTTAACCAAGAAGCAGCATGTTCGTCAATGCCATGAGGCGATGCAATCACTCAAAATACATAAGCCAGGTTTTATTTAATATATATTATGTATGAATAAAGTTCTCATTACATGTAAGTTTGACATAACATTGTCACAATTTCACCACTTTTTCCAAACACCTTAAGATGTTGACTAGCAGTAGACAAGGCAGTCCCAAATAATTCTTCAGCCTGTACTCATGCCCTCCTGGAAGCATTTTCTAATGGTGCCACAGAAGTATTGATGCTAAAAGACTGTCAATAGATGGGATTTATACTGATGACTAAGTAGCCACAGCAAACTTCACCAAGAGAGGAAATCCAGCTGTCAAAGTGTCATGAGTTAAACTGCAGTGCATCTTTACACTGTAACTCAGTTATCTTATCAGCTGTGATTGTAACATACTAAGCCATACTGCACCTGATAAAGAATTTTTTTAAATGTAACAAAAGAAATTTAAAAAAAGAGTATGATGAAATAACCATAGTTTAGATTGTTAGAAGGAAAGAAAACAAAATTAAATTAAATTATATTAAAAGTTCAAACTCAGTAAAGTAGAGATTGACCAGATCCTCAGAGTGCAAGGGTGGCTTTTGCTTTGGCTTATTATAGGAAACAGGTCAGCCATAAATGTCAGATGTGGGTTCAAACTCTTCTGAAATTCTCGGACGTTTAGGATCTGGGCCAACCTCTACTGAAAATCTCAGAGCCTTTTGCAATTACCATTGTTGTTCATCCTTCGAGTTAGAAGATGACCATGACATCACGGGTTGGTTTAGTTTCTGTGAACACGTGAGTAGCTGATCAGGCCATTCTGAGCTTTGAACTGTCTGTGGCACATTGAACAAGAGATGCTACTATGGGTTGCTTGATTAACAGCGGACCTGCTGCTGTTACAAAATTTACGCTGTTGGTACTTCTGCTCTGCCTCAGCAGTTCTCCTCCACTCACAGACTGTAGCTCCAGTATGGATGAGGTTTCGTCAGATAGAACTACCATGAAGGAGATCTTCCCAAAACTCAGGGTCATTGTTGAAACACTCCAAGGATAACTTGAGGGAGTCTTTGAAATGTTTCTTCTGGCCTCCCTGAGAGCACTTTCCCTCCTTTAGCTTGCCGTAAAAGTTCTTCCCTGGCAGTCACTAATCTGACATTCTGGTGACATGGCCTGCCCATCTCACCTGTGATTTCATCAACGGAATAGGGATGCTTGGAATGCCGGCCCGTATGAGAACCTCAGTATCTGGAACCTTGTCTTGCCATGTTATCCTCATCAGTTTCCTCAGACAGCCCATGGGAAAGTGAGTTTGTGCCATTATCATCATAGGCATTTGATAGTGGCACCTTTTAAAGCCAGCTCACCAAAATTAAGGCTGTTTTCTGACATAAAATCTAGAGAGAGACAAGAATGTATTTGCCACGCATTATCTTCTCTCTGGCATTGAATTGAAGTAGGTAGGTAAGGACTAAAGGGGAGAACAAATTAGGAATTATCAGGGAAGGCAAACAGCTGATTGAGTTTGTACATAGCCCTGCACTGGTTTCCAAGACTCAAGAGGGACAAGCAGCATTCACAGAGGTTACAGATCAGTGCAGGGAAGATGAAGATCAGACTAGCTGTACAATGGAATTCAAGAGGGGACAGATTGTTTGACAGCACAAAGGAGTTCACATACCTGGGCACCCCAATTAGCATAGTTGGAGAGGTAGTACATGAAATAAATACATAAAGGAGCCACATTTATTCCTAGTGCAATCATGGGCAATGACACTGGTTTCAATGGAGTTGCGTCTGTTTACACCAGGGCTGAATTTGGTTTAATAATTAGCAGTAGATGCATATAACTGATTCAACAAGATTGGGCAAGCAGAAAACTGAAGCTAAAAACCCCAACATCCTGCAACTATGATTTCATTATGTTGCATGGCTGTGAGATTCTGTGTCCGATTGAAAAACGGAAGCATTCCCTCATGGCAAGAATGTTTTGCAAAGCTCATGAGTATAATATGGTAAGAGGAGTTAAGGTGCAGTTCAGGAAAATTGCACACTGGAAAGCATACGAGAATAGATGTTATTCTGGTTGGGCCACATCAATCAAGAAGTATAATGAGTGAATGTACAAGCAAGTCCTAAAATATGGGAAGACAAGCAATGGATAGTCAGACCACAGAGAAACTGATAAAGCGTGTTTGAGAAGGATTCATCTCTGCTGAGTAACAGAAAGAAATGTACATGGTCGTGTTCCACAGCCAACAGAAGTTGCGCAAAGTATACTCACCTTTGCCATGATGCTTGCAAATCAGTCAGCGATGGCTAGGCTGTATGGTCTGCTGCTATTTCTACTTAATAGGGTTGCCAACTCTGACCGAAGCTATTCCGGGAGATTTTTTTCCCCAACATGACATAATGTCATTTTCTTAAACTATCCTATTAAAGTCTCCCGGATTGCTTTCAACAGTCATGGGGAGATCGATGCCAATTCCGGGAGACTCCAGGCCAAACTTGGAGGGTTGGCAACCCTACTACTTAACCTAATCAGGACTGTCTCACTGTTTACCTTGTTGCCATACTCATTCGTTTGTTTAATACACCCTTTGTTGACTTGGTATGCTGATAGATTCAAAGCTCTTTGGGACGGTGACTGCTTTTTATTCTATGTCTGTGCTTTGCCTAACTGTTTGGGGCCTCTAGGAACTAAAGTAATTAACAATAATAATGATGATGATCATGATGTAAATTGTAACCTGTGAACCCTTGAAATATCTATATCTGATCCATTAGAATACTCACTCTCTGTATGAATGTTGCTTGTTTCTAGCTAATTGCCTAGGGAGGTTGTGGAATCTCCATCTCTGGAGATATTTAAGAGTAGGTTAGATAAATGTCTATCAGGGATGGTCTAGACAGTATTTGGTCCTGCCATGCGGGCAGGGGACTGGACTCGATGACCTCTCGAGGTCCCTTCCAGTCCTAGAGTCTATGAATCTATGAATCTATAATTTGCACAATTTATAAGCATTATATGAGACGTGGCATATGTCACTTCCTACACGTAAGTGCTTGTCACACGAAACATAAGTAGTAAAGTATAAAATAAAAGATTTCTCTGTGTGAAGCAGAAGTAATGCAGGGAGCCCATGACCTACGCTACTCATGAACTATCCAGCTCTGGCACTCAACAAATATTTTTCTGGGTTGTCCAGCCTTTCAAACCAGAAAGCTAGCACTCCAAGCACAGGTTTGTCATTGTTACCTTTCACAGTCAGGAACGCAGATGTCACTGCGTCACTACATAGGAAAGTCACCCTGCAGTTGTCCTGGGCAGTGAGGTTCTTCAAGAGGAGAATATGCCTGCGTCCATTTTCAAAGTAAACCATCTCAATGTTTTCTGTGGTTTTGGCAGGCTCATCATCAATCAGCCAGTTGTAATTGTAGCACTCTGGTTTGGAAAGGTAGCACTCAAACAGGGCTTCACCACCTTCCATGGCTTCCACATTCTCCAAACCCTTGACAATACTGTTCTTGGCTAATGGAAAAGGAAAATGATCAAAAACATTAGCTATTTTGCTTACACACTTCTGAGTAGTAGTGAGCCTTAAAGCACACTATGTAATTCCCATCACCTGGAAGCTGATATGAGAGCACCATATGTGGAAAGTTAACTTGTGGTTTCTCCTTTTAAATGTCAGTGGCATCCTAACACAGCATTATGTTTAAAATACATCCACAACAGCAATGTGGTTTAACAAGTAGTAAAATAACTCTAACACGGTGTTACCTTCTGGCTTAATTCAACATTTATCCAATAACCTGACCTATATCTTTATAAATGAAGGATGAAATCATATTGTTCGTATGAACTGGGGTAATTGTTCAATGGAAACGAATACAAAAAGCCATCTACAGTTCAAGAATATAGGGTATAACCAGTTTCCTTTTGTGTACAACAGGAATCTTTTCTTGCCAACCTCCTCCATATGTATAATTAACATCATAGCTGGAGAGATTTGAAACCGATAGGGAGCTCATCTTAAAATCTTACCACCTTTTATACAAAACATGTCCTTATCCCAGCAGCGGACTACTGTTGGTCAATGCAATGATATTTGTAATCTAAGTCAACAAGGGATTTTGCAAATTGTACTACTAAAAGCCATTTGCAAAATTACAATTTATTGCATCGGTAACACTTTTTTAGTAGTAACTTTCTAATTATTACCAAATTCTTCTGACAGATGTCCAGGACCTGATTTTCTAATCTGAATGTCGGGGGTCGGGGCCATTGTGTGTGCAAAAATGTGCATAGATGTGCATGACCCATTTGCACACAATTACTGCAACTGCGTACACCAACTGATAGTTGTACACAACTAACCAGTTTGATGCACATATCCCCAATTTGTGTGCACAGCCACGTTAATTGCATAGACACATTAGGCACACACTACTGTACAAGTTTATGTACACTGAGTTAGGTGAGCACAGTTTAGAAACAGAAACCCACAACGCTCACATGAGTTATATACCATGGTCCTCATGATCAGTGTTCTAATACAGCACCAGAATAATGGCCCAATCAATCCTGTTTAGTAACCACATCAATCATTGTAACTTCTAACCCGTGTGCAATTGCTTGACACTTAGAAAATTGATATTGAACTATTTATTCTCTAGCAAAGCCAAATCAGTTTTTCTGAGGTTCCAGAATTTTCCAACTTGAATGTTTAAAGAGAACAATGGTCTTGTGCCTACGGCAAAGGACAGGAGTCAGAGGCATGACTGCATTCCTGTGTGAATGTATCCGCGTCATTTAATTTCTCTGTGCGCCACTTTCCTCATAAGTAGAATGTTGATACTTACAGATCCCTGCCCCCCCTGGAGCGTTTTAAGACTAAATTCATTTATACTTGGTAAGTGCTTTTAGACCCTAAGATGGAAGGAGCTACCAAAGTGCAGAGCATTATAATAAATAATAAATTGGCTTTTTAACTGAGCACAATCCCACAGTTCAGAAACCAAATAAGAAACAATATTATTTCTAATCATAATAGCGTACCCGGTAGTTGAAAACAAGAATTCCATATGCAAATAGCAGAAAACTAGTTATTAAAACATTATATCCGCTATGCTCTACTGTTGTTTGCTTTGATCACTTGGATATTTCGGTGCTTTAAAGGCGGTCCCGTCTTAAATGGCAGGCTGTGGGCCTCGTTCTGTAGTTGCTCCATGTAGGTGTCCCACTGAAGTCAAGGAGAGTTCCTTACATGGAGCAGCTGCATGTCAACTCCCTCAATCCGTTAATACTGGCAAACGTATGGTAATTTTCTTTGAAGTATCTTATGCACCATCAAGTCTAAGACTGAGATCAGGTGTCTTTCACCTTACATGGGACACCAAATGCTAGATTGGTCTCAAAAACCTGTGGAGGAAGATTTTCAAAAATGCCTACGGGTTACAGCGTCACAACTCTCATTTAAGGCCAATGGGCCTTGTGCTACTAAATCTCCTAGGCCTTTTTGAAAATCATCCCTGTGATGTTTGGACAATTATTTTTTTAAATATATTCATTTCCACTCTGTCCTAAATTGAAAATAAATAAAGAGTGTGGGGCACTTGCATAGCACAGTAACGGGGGCAATACAAGTACCTAAGAGAGAGACAGAAAATAGTGACTCTTGAACGCAGACTCCGAGCAACTGAGTCCAAGACATCTATAAACAAAGCTCTGTTAATTAAACCAGTAAAGGTTACATATGGGGCCACATCCTGATGCTATTAAAATCAATGGCAAAACTCTCATTAACTTCATTGGAAACAAGAGTTAAGTCTTTGGTGGGAAAAAATTTAAGAACAGGATACAACAAACCTTGAAACACTGTTTTCTGTAAACCTAAGAATCAAGCTGCTCTCTTCATCTTTTCTATCACAGACACTTAACTACATATAAAAGAATATTTCTATTGTTTTTCCACTTTTTGTCTCCCAGGGACACTTACAATATCTAATTTCAAATTACAAGAGGCTTTACAAGTTATTATTATTTTAAATAGATATAAAACTCAAGAAAGGCGAGCTGTAGATTAGATTAACTGGAAATAAAAAATACAATGCCATTTTATCCTTTAGTTCATTTTTTAAAGCACTTTGTATGTGAAAAGTGCTATATAAGTACTATTATTTTTCAAGTCCAAGAACGCCACATCTGCAGCATGACAATAATTCAGCAGAACATATCCCATTTGATTAGTGCTACTACCAAATTCAGTTCATTGGAGAGCAAGCATGATTATCTATACGCGTTTGGAACCAAAAGTGGACATTAAATTGAACTAGTTTCCAACTGAATTTTATACATTTTCACATTCAACTCATGTTAACATCAAACATGTTTCTCATTATTATTGATATTGGAATGAACACCAAATGAATAGGTAACGATTTGCCACTTATTGTCAGATGCGGCTGTGATTTGCCACTTGGTCGCTATTTGGTCCCCATGGTAGTCTTCCTTTTGTCCTGGAAGACCTCACCTTGAACATCAAGCATAGCCACAACTTTGGTGTTTCCCGCTTCACAAGAATAGATGCCACTGTCTTCTGGAAGGGCAGGTTTAATTTTTAGCTTGGCTACATTCCAGTCCTGCTCGATAATGACTCGTTGCCCATCTGCGGAAACTTCCTGATCATTTTTCTTCCATGTGGCTTGCACTGGCCTAGAGTACTGGCATATGAGCTCTGCTGTGCCATCTTCATCAACGGTAATGTCCTGCATGGGACTGACCACCTCAATAGTTGGATCTGTCAACCAACATGTCAGGAGGGACATGCATTAGTGGATCCTTATGGAAAGGGCAGCTTAGATTTTTTCAAGCACAGAGCCCGCGTGGAATGGGAAGCAAAGAAAATGAAATTACAAGCATAAGGCTGCCCAGATGCGCTACAGGTTAGCAGGTTTAGCGTTTGCTTGTGTCAGCATCAAGCAGCGTGGAAGCAAACAGGATATATTAGGATAGCTGTACCATCAGATAGTTTAGACCAGTGGTTCTCAAACTTATTTGATCGGGCCCCCCTTCTTTGTGTCTGTAGTTGTTTATGTGCTCCCTCCCTCCCCCCACCCCGCAAGTACATATGCTGCCACCCAGCTCTGAAGGCAGAGCGGAGAGCAGCGGCTGCTGGCCGGGCGCCCAGTGCTGAAGGCAGCACTGCGCAGAAGTAACGGTGGCCGCGTGAAAAGTGATATTTGTCAATATCACTTTTCACAGCAGACTTAGTGTCCCATTGCCACCCTTACTTCTGCGCTGCTGCTGCCACCCCAGGTGAGGGATTGAGTGGAGGGGATGGAGAGCCCGAGCCCAGGTGGTGTGGCTCCAGCTATCAGCTCCAGGGTTCCAGCTGTCCCCTTTATTCCTGCTTCCCGGGTGTGCACGGCCCTTCTGCATGAGCCCCAGCCACCCGGGGCTGACAGATTTCTTAAATAAAATCACACAGCTCACACCTCCCTTGACACATTTGCCCCATAATTTGAGAACCGCTGGTTTAGCCTAAATAACTAAGACTTATACTAAGATTCTTGAAGGCTATTTTTCTTTGGAGAGCATCCACTAGGATGCTCTCCATCATTTCCTCCCCACAATGACACATATCACAGTAGCCCTCGTTCCACCAAGGAGCACTGGATGTGGCTCTCTCTCGAGTATGTCAGGGCTTCTCAGAATCTGTCAGGGGTGGAGAGAGCGAAGTGGGATGGGGGAGCTGCCTTGAGAAGACAGTTGAGTGACTTAAACAAAAACAGAAACATCAGAGAGAACATATTCAGCAAGATTGGCGGGGGTTTAGCTGGGTGACTCCAATTAAACTGGTAAGTTTGTGCTAAAAATGAGGTAAGTCTGTGCTAAAAATGAACCCCAGTGTGGCTATATGTTCATCTGATTAAATCTGGCCAGGAATTTTCCAATGACGAACCTATAGCTTCCAACAGGCTGTGATATGATGGTGCCTTTACTATGATACTTTAGATGCCCAAAGGAAAACTGCACCAGTGATACTTAGGCCTGTCTGAAAGGTCATAGGAGCCTTTCTCTATGTGAACAAACCGTGAAAGCTACTTTAAATGAAATGTATAATTACATTAGGCATTCCGGCTTACCACTGGTCATAAAGCCTGTCAGAAACCCACAGGCAGTAAGGCAAGCATAGCAGTACAGGTGGGCAACCCTATTCTGGACCTTCCAAAATATCACGGGGAGGGCACTCCATAGAAGATAAGTGCCCAGTTTTTGACTAATCTTGTGTCTGTCTGTCTGTTTAAAACAGACAATTACAGGCACAAATGATTGCATATTGCCATCTAACTAGTTGATTTGTAAAGTCAATCATGTAACTACAGAAGAACCTCAGAGTTATGAACACCAGAGTTACAAACTGACCGGTCAACCACACACCTCATTTGGAACTGGAAGTACGCAATCAGGCAGCAGCAGAGACCAAAAAAAAAAAAAGGCAAATACAGTATAGTACTGTGTTAAACATAAACTACTAAATAATTAAAGAGAAAGTTTAAAAAAAATAGATTTGACAAGGTACGGAAACTGTTTCTGTGCTTGTTTCATTTAAATTAAGATGGTTAAAACCAGCATTTTTCTTCTGCATCATAAAGTTTCAAAGCTGTATGAAGTCAATGTTCAGTTGTAAACTTGAAAGAACACCCATAACGATTTGTTCAGAGTTACGAACATTTCAGTGTTACGGACAACCTCCACTCCCGAGGTGTTCGTAACTGAGGTTCTACTGTAGATAACTCGGTGCTACCATTAGTACCCACGGCTCATTGAAATCCTGAACTGAGGAACCCAAGAAATCCTGCGAATGGTCCTGGTAGCTGATGGCTCCCGCTGAGAAAGGCGATATCCATGCCGCTGCTTTTGAATTTTCACGGTCTTTACTTTCTTTTAAAATACCACTGTTGAAGATTGCTGCTATGGTTATAGGCGTAATACAATACCGTAAAGAAACCAAACCAAACCAAAGATTTTGCAAGCTTCAAAAGCAGGCATGGGGCACTCTCCCAGATGCTACTTTGTATTCCCCCTCCATCAGCGTATTTGTAGGCGATATTTATTGTATATATTTGACCAAAAATCGGAATGGCGACTGAAATAGCAGCCTCTCAGCAAAGCCCTTCTCCCTGGAAGCACAGCTATGCTACAAAGGACTTTGTAGGTGTGAAGTTATATAATCAATTAGGTTAAAGAACTAAGGCCTGGTCCACACTAACCCCCTACTTCGGACTAAGGTACACAAATTCAGCTACGTTAATAACGTAGCTGAATTCGAAGTACCTTAGTCCGAACTTACCGCGGGTCCAGACGCAGCAGGCAGGCTCCCCCGTCGATGCCGCGTACTCCTCTCGCCGAGCTGGAGTACCGGCGTCGACGGCGAGCACTTCCGGGATCGATTTATCGTGTCTAGACAAGACGCGATAAATCGATCCCAGAAGATTGATTGCCTGCCGCCGAACCAGGAAGTAAGTGTAGACGTACCCTAATAGTCATTGAAGGTCGCGACCAGAAGTAGCCCTTATCTTAAGAAGCAGAATTCATTGCAGCCTAGCTAAAATCAGCTAAACTGGACCCGTGAGAAAATGCTCCTCTCAACAATGTGTGCATTTCACTGATGTTAATGGAAATTATATGCACGCTTTGGCATGCAAAGGCAGCCCAGAGATGTCTACTGAATTCCTCCTGCTAGGCTCAGTTCTGTTCCCTAAGGGCTCTATCCTGGCTTTTAATGGCACAGCTCCCCTCATGAGAAATGCGATAGCAGGTCCTGAGGCCATTCTTGCTGCTTAGGGCTGAGGAGTTGATGGTGTAACCGAAAATGGATGGTAGTTTCAGATTGCGATTACACATCTCTGACTACTCCTGTTTTAGTTAAAAGACACAGCTACCCAACCAAGAGGAGGATTTTCATGGAAAGAGTAGCTAACCTTCTACGCCTCCTGGTATGTGACTCCCTCCCAATAATACAAGAAAGAAAAAAATTATTTTTGTCTCAGTACAAAAGCAAAGCCACAGCTTTTCCCGAGCTCGCTAACGGATGTATATGTGCAGGGGATTTCTTTATTGTAAAGTCTGGAGCTCAGCAGTTCATGGCTACCTTCACCAAATCTAAAACAAACAGCAACAAAACATTCTCAGTACAGGACCAACCAGCAGTACATCGGTAACAAATGAATGGGTCCAAGTCATCATTGTGTTACTGCAATTTTATGCCTGTGTTATTCCATCCAGGCACCACGACTTGTTCTGCATTCCCATGCACAAGAGCTCGCTGGCATCGATTTTGATGGAGTTATGCTGTGTCAGCACTCCAGCCACATAGTGATGAATCAGGCCCAATATTTGCGTCTGCGTGTCTTGTGGAGCAGTAGCAGGGCGATGGTTATATGGTATTGATGTGGACAGTGGCAAAATGAGGACAGACACATGCATGGAATTAAACCGCAGGCTGCAACTTCTATTAAAATTTAAGGCAGGGGAGGGGTGTTGTCCATCCATCCCCCACACTCTCCTATACCAGGCGTTTAATTGGTTCCAGTGCAGGGGTTACAGGGCTTTCTACCATATAACCCATAATGTGCAGTATGCTCTCCTCAGCCTGCCCCCCAGGACTCAGCTCATTGAGTCCTAGCACCCTCCCCTCCTCGACAGCGTAAAGCAGGGTGGGGATCTCAGCTTGCAAGGGCAGCAAAGTCTCTCCCTATCACATGAGCCCAAGGCCCATCACCAAAATCCCAGGTCTTTTAGCTCTGGGAACTGTTCATTTTATCCTTTTTACCACACTGGAAACCAATCGCAAATTGCGACGAATAAACACCACCACTCCAGTACCTCAGCTGGGTACTAAAGGTTCCTACTTCATCCACTGTGGCTTGAACATGCTGCAAGGAAGGCAAAAAACTCCCTGGTCCTACACCCGTTGGCCTATGGGAGAAAAATTCCTTCCTGACCCCCTAAACAGGCGATCGGTTAGACCCACAGCATCTGCCAGGCCAGGTTCCCATTCCAAGTTTGAGCGGGTAGGGTGGGCTGCTGGAACGGAGACGAAAGATGCTCCACATGGCCCCCACAGCAGGTTAAATAATGGGTGCTGAGGAATGCTGGCCAATCAGCAATCCTCTCTCCTGGCTGGCCAATGGGTGCCAGAGCCTCACGGGGGGTGGAGAGCTATCTATTGTCTATTGGTGAGTGTCTCCCTCCCTTGCTGCAGGGGCTGTCCCCCTTTCATCACTGGCCCCATCAAGTTCTCCCACTCATTAATGTGAGTGGGTGGCATTTATGGTAATATCATTCTTGTATAGTCCTGGGGAGGACACAACACCCAGGTACCACAAGGGTAAGACTAAATCCTCACCATCTGTTTCCAGAGTTTGAATAAATCCTGACTGTGCTGCCCGGTAAAAGCCACAGGCCTGATCCTACAACCCTTACTCACTTGAGTCATCCTTATTCACAGAGGAAGGTCTGTTGAAACCAACAGGTCTACGTGCATGAATATGGACAACTTGCATGAGTAAATGTTGCAAGCCTGGGCCCTCTCCTAGAGTCCGCTAGTTATGAAAATATTATGCCACTGGCAGAATACTAATAACACAACAGTATTTTGGAGGAATTTCGTACGGGTAATCAGAAGGCAGGAGCGCTAGTATAGAGAGTAATTTGGGGGATGGACATCTGCATCTTTCTAAGAAAAATACCTTTGATTAATAATTTAGCTGAAGATATGAGGGACCCAGCTCTGAAAGTCACAATCCCCGAATCATCGGACCCCAGGTTCTTTAGGGTCAAAGTGTGGATTTTTCCATCTCGCACAGTGATTTCATTGACAGCGCTGTTCTGAAGGGGAGATCCATCGAGCCACCACTGTACATTCTGCACCCCCAGGCGCGAGAGCTCGCAGGTGAAGGTGGCCGACTCACCCGCAAAGACATCCGTGTTCTTTAAACCACAAACTATCTCTGCTTCCTCTTCTGTATAACAGAGCAAGAAAACGGGTACACCAAGGGAAAACAAAGGACACACAAATACACGTTCCTTCCGCAGAACTGATCTAAAGTACAGTTCTTAGATTCACAGATTCTGTGAACTACATTCAAATTGTCCTGCATAAATAAACTTGTCACGCTCATTCAGATAAACAATGCACTTGCCGACAAACATAGTGGGTTTGTTCGGACATACTATTTCAACATGAGGACAGTCTAAGAATTTTGTGATCCATTCATGATTTGGTGTCCTGTATGGTGTCATCTGCACTGATATTGCAAACTCTTTATGCCAGGGATCTTCCCTGTGATTTAAGTACTGTATATACTTACAACGCTATAAAATAACTATAATAATAATTAACAACATGGTATTCAATATCTTCATAGCAGTCACTCTAAGCAAATAGTTATTTAAGCAGGTGTTGCTATACCATTTTACAGACAGTATGGTCATTGTCTTTGAACTCCATTATATTATAAATATTGGTCCATATTCACGCTTGGTATAAAAGTGTGCAACATCACTGAAATCAAGCCAGAAATTGGTGGAGTTGCACCTACTTACACCAGGACTAAATCTGGCCTGTTGACTGAAGAACTACCTGTTTGAATTCAACCAGAAATGAGAGGTAATTTGAAATGATTTATTCTTACCTTGCACGTACACAGAGCCTGTGGTCATCTCATACCCAGTGCTACAGGTGTAGGGTCCACAGTCCTCAACCTCCAAGTCATGAATAATTAACTCCACATTGGTGCCATTCTGACGCATCTCATACTTGTCACTGGGCTGAAGTACAAGCGCTCCTTTCCTCCACTCCACCAGGGCATCAGGTTTGGAGATCTCACACTGCAGGACAGCTGTTCCTCGTTCTTCTGCCTCTACGTTATGCAGTTCTTCTTTAAAAAGCACGGGTAGTACTGCAGTGGAGAAGTAACTACTGTAGTGAGAATGCTCCAGTGTGAATTACTGAGGCTTACTGCACCATTCCATTCATCACAGCCCCCCTTCTGGTAACCTCTCTCTGGGTAGTTCTGGGTGTGGTTCAGAGAGATGGAAAACTGGAAATGCTATCCCACTCTAGTCCTTCAAGTTGCACTATGGCCAAAGCCCCATAGACACTGGCCACTGACACACAATAACAGTAGATCATTGCAGCTCAGTGCAGGGCTGCTATGAATTATGGCTTTTTAAGGGGGCCTCTATTTGGCCGCTACTTTCACACCCACAATTTTGTGTGCTTATAGCTGATTGTAGGCAAAGATGCAGGTGCAAATGATAGTATTTGGACATCTAACTATCTGAATTGCATGGGTAATGCAACACCCCTGGGTGGGTCACCAGTAACAGATATCCAGCACTTCTGGAGCTGTCAGCTTAAAGCCAGTAGCAAACTCATAAACCTCTAATGGCTTAGCCACTAGAGGGAAACAGAGCGTGACACCGGGTTATACAGGTACAATTAGGCATACTGGTTGCCATTTCTAAGTCAATATTTGCTAACTATTAACATACAGCAGTATGTCATATGCAGCAATATTCCCCCATTCTAAGTATAGGGAAATACTCTTATCTCAGATAACGACACGTAGTAACGGTTAGCAAATCTCAATTTCATAAAAGCTATAGTTTATGCCTAGAGTCAACAGCATCTGTAATTTTGTTCCAGCATCTGGTTGTGAGATTGAAAATGCAAGTGCAAGAATAGAAGTGGTTTTTTTAAAAGTTTGGTCCACCAGGTACAAATAAGTGTTTAGTGATACACTGTATCACTGTTATATTAAAATGAGATTCGCTGGCTGATAAACGTTAAAGCTACTTCATCAGTAAAACTTCCATTTTACCAATTTTGGAGCACAGCCAGGGCCTTTAGGACTATTTACCACAAATCAAGCCTTTTCCTACCTTTTACTAGCAGTGCCGCAGTGGTTTGTTGATCTCCTGAATCACATGTGTACTCCCCAGCATCCTGAAGTTCCACGTCATAAATAAACAGCTCAACAAAAGTCTCCTCTTGCCTGAGCTCATACTTGTCACTTGACTGCAACACCACATCTCCTTTCCTCCATTCAACTGGAACACTCGGTTTTGTCAGCTCACAGCGCAGTGCAGCCGTACACCCTTCCTCAACTTCCTCATTTTGGAGCCAACGTTTGAAAAGCACAGGTAGGGCTGACAGCGTGAATGAAGCAAAACAAGAGAGGAGATTGTTTTGTGAAAAAATGAACGGATAACAGCTTGAACAATAATGGAATTCCTGAAGATAATAGGCCAAATTCTGCCAGCATTTACTCCCAGTTAGGGTGTAGGAATGCAAGCAAGGCTAGAACCTGGCCTATAGTCATGTCGGAATTGTTGATAGTTCTCTGGTAGAGCAACTATTTGTTGCTAGTTGGTAATAAAGTTTTGTAAAGTAGTTTGTACTGGGGGATAATTTAATACCTTCATAAATCATTAAAAATGATGAAGGGATTCCAATGGGAAACCGAGGTGGGGTTGGTTTTACATAATATTGGTCAGGTTTCAGTTCTGTAAAAATCAGAAGCGTGTCTGATTCAAATCCAGATTCAATTTATCTGAACCCCAAAAGTTTGGGTAGTGAGGTCTGAACAAGTCGCTCCAGTTTTGACCCATCTCTATTAGTCAAATCTCTATTAGCTAAATTTGGTTTGCAAAGCTTTGTCAGTCACATTTGGGGTGATAACCAAAATAAGACCCATGGGCATTTTGGAGTGGAGCTCTATTTATCTGAAACACAAGATAGTTTTAACCACTTTTTAAAAAAAGGAGACTAACATTGTTCAACAAATCATCTTTTCATTTACAGTACTTACAAGAGGCTAATTTTTAATGAGTAATGCTGCGATTCTAAATGTTGTCCATTTTTAAGGTAAGGTTGCTGATTGCACATACATTCAATAATCTCTACCACTGCAGATGAAGAATTACTAGAGCTGAGCAAAGATCAGAATTTCTGCCCAGTGGCAAATTCTGATATTTCAACATTTGTTTTCATTCAGAATTGGAGTGCAAAATCAAAACAGGGACTTGTGTGCAACAGAAAATTCTGAAAAAAACTGACTTGGAAATGTAAAAATGTTCATTTTGACATTTTCAACCAGAATGAAATGTTTTGACATTCTGAAATCAACATGTTTTGTTTCAAGTCATGTCAGCATCAAACTGCACCTGTCTAAGGTGCCATGCTATTTGGTGCCCTCATTCTTCCTTATTGGCTGGGTCTCTGGCTTGACAACAGGTCCCATGATTCACTGGGGTCTTGTGACTCATCATGCACTACATGGCTAAATTAGAGGGGAGATCATGGGAGATGTAGTCCAGCTATGGAGCCGAGCCCATAGGAGAGAATGGGAACACGATGCACCCAAACTACAACTCCCATGAGACACCACAGCACATTAGGCAGATGCAGTTTAATGGTGACCCAACCTGAAATGAAATATTTAGTTTAGATTTTCCCAACAGAAAACCAAAAATTTCAGCAAATTTTCCTATGGAAAAATTCCCATTTTTCAGAAACCGCATATCTCAATTACTATAGACAAGATTGTTTTTCACCCCCAAAAATGAAATCCTTGAATGCAAGAGGAGCGATCCCAGAGCACAAACACCTGCAGACATAAAAAAATAGCATTTTATGAATGGCTTCAGAGCATGGCACTCTGGAGACACCATCTCACCTTTAACATCTAGTCTGGCAGTGGTCTTCCTGTCGACTGTATTACAGCTATACTCCCCTGAGTCCTCAGGTTTTAAATCATGGATGATCAGAGTATGTACATTCCCTTCCTTCTTGATTTCAAACTTCGTACTGGACTTGATCACAGACGAAGCTTTCTTCCATTCCACTGGGATGTTAGGCTTGGATAGCTCACACTGTAGTTTTGCAGTGTCACTCTCTTGCAGTTCCTGGTTCTCGAGCAACTTTACAAATATGGCCGGAGCAACTGTAGAAAGGGGAATAAAAGCATTTTGCACACGAATAATCAGGCATGTAGATAGAAAACTCTTTAATACAGGTTATCATAAGAAATGCACAGCAGCTCACGATTTAATTCTCAGATTTCATGTTTCCACACACAGGATCACATTTTAAAACAGCTAAATGTAAGGTCATACCTACAGAACAGGGGTCTGTATCCTGGAAAGCAGTGACTCTGAAAAGGATTTAGGGATTGGTGCAACCAATACTGGAAGACTGTGTCTAGTTCCAGTGTTCATGTTTTAAAAATGATGTTGAAAAATTGGAGAGGGTGCAGAGAAGAACCCCCAAAATGATTCAAGGACTGGAAAAAAACCACCTTTCAATGAAAGACTTCAAGAGCTCAATCTGTTTAGGTTATCAAAAAGAAAATCGAGAGTTGACTTGATTAGAGTGTATAAATACCTTCACCGTGAGAAAATGCCTGGTGCTAAAATGCTCTTTAATGTATGCAAGAAAGGCTTCACACGAATGAATAGCTGGAAGTTAAAACCAGACAAATTCAAATTGGGAATAAGGCACAAATTTAACAGTGAGGGTGATTAACCATTGAAATAAATTGCCAAGAGAAGTGGTAGATTCTCCACCTCTTGAAGTCTTCAAATCAAGATTTACCTTTTTGGAAGGTATGTTTTAGTTCCACACAAGTTATTAGGCTCAATATAGGAGTAACTGGGTGGAATTCTCGGCCTGTGTTATACAGGAGGTCAGACCAGATGATCTAATGGTCCCTTCCGGCCTTAAAATCTACACATCTATGATTCTAACTCCTCTACTTGTTGCCACCTGCTGGATTGCAAGAAAAGAAGCTAAAAATTTAAATTAAATAACTTTCCTAATATTGATTTTCCATGTAAGCACTTGCTCTAGTTGTCGCAGTAATGTTATACTATTGTGAACTGGAGAGGAGGTTTCCACAAGACAATATGTCGGTTTGGATGTGGTCTGTGCTATGAAAAATATTGTAACACTAATACCTATCTCATAGAACTGGAAGGGACTTGAAAGGTCATCCACTCCAGTCCCCTGCCTTCACTAGCAGGACCAATTTTTTTGCCCCAGATCCCTAAATGGCCCCCTCAAGGATTGAACTCACAACCCTGGGTTTAGCAGGCCAATGCTCAAACCACTGAGCTATCCCTCCCCCCATTGTAAACTCATGAAGTATGATAAAAGTCCCTCGCCCTTCCTATTAAAGATTGTTCCCTACAGTACATTTTCTAGTGTCTTGTCTCATGAAGCATGGATTTGGGTGTAGAGGAAAGAGAGGAGTGAAGGGGAGGAGACCATACAATGGCCCTGATTCTGATGACCTAGAATGATTTTATACCAACGTGTTGTGACATCACAATCAAACGCTATGAAACAGAAGATTTGGAGGAAAAAACCACAAATAATAATGGATCCAATTCTTACACTTACATCAGTGTAAAACTGGCATACCTGAAATCAGAACTGCCTCCTATATTTGCACTGTGAAATGACATAACAGAAAAACAAACACGGTGGCACATTTTGCTGACCAACCCTTAAGATTATTTTTTATTTTGTACCATCGCATGAAAGACTTTGTACAGCTTGTAAAAGAAAGAGCGAGTAGTATCCAACGCCATCGTAAGTGGGAGGTTTATAGAAAAGTGCTTGGTTCTGATGGTGACTGTACACAGAATTAAAAAACAACCAAACCTCTTATAGAACTGAAGCAATAGTTATCTCAAAGGGTTTGTTTACTTACCTTGGACTGTTAACTGTGCCTCTGACGTATGTTGCCCCACTCTGATACTGACAGACCCAGAGTCTTCTAGGGTCACCCGCCTCAGGGTCAAAGTGTGAAGCTTCCCTTGAACTGTGATCTCGTTCATTTCATTGGGCTGGAGCGGTACGCCACCCAGGCACCAGTGCACGTCCCGCGCTTTCTCCCGAGACACCTTGCACTTGAACACTGCATCTTCTCCTTCATTTAAGGTGACGTCCTTTAGCACCTCCACTATGCTTGCTGCTGGTTCTTTGATAAAAAAAAGTCACAACTGTTTTAAATCCATTTTCAAGCATCTTATCCCATTTTTAGACATAATTATTATATTATTATTTGTAAGGCAACTCATGCCCAAAGGATTCTGGGTACTTAAAACAATATTGTACATACAATATACAAATATTTCTAACAGGAAGATTACACATTGTAGCTAAGTAATATTAACGTGAAGCCCTAGAATCCCTAAAGGCCCTGAACGCACTAAAATCACTGGCCAAATTCCTCTTTATTCTACTGGGCACAGGACCATGTATAGTGGGATTTCCCACGACGCTGCTGTAGAACTCTATTTTGTCATGGTGCCAGGATCATGATTTTAAACACAGTTCAGATACTTCCAACGGTATTGATCAAAAGAGAGTTCAAGTCCTACCTTTCACATATACAGCTGCTGTGGTTTTTTGGTCTCCTGTATCACAGGTGTATTCCCCAGCATCAGCTTCATTCAGGTTATGGATTGTCAGCTCAGTCGTAGGGCCATCTTGATTCATCTTGTACTTGTCACTTGGTTGCAGAACTTTCCCCGCTTTCTTCCATTGCACAGGGGCATTGGGTTTAGAGAGCTCACAACTCAGGGTGATGGTGCCACCCTCTTCTGCTTGCTGGCTCTGGAGTGGTTGTATAAAAAGCACTGGCAAAGCTAAACCAAGATAAACAGGGAAACACATTTACATTTCATTAGTAACTGACTTTCTGATATGAATTTTCTCCTGCTTTTACAGCTGGTCTTCTATTTTTCATATACAGTTGTGAACATTTTGACCCTTTTCCTCACCAGAATTACACACCCACAGGCACAACGTGCTAATTCATTTCACATCACCATTCGCAGCAGTCTCTTGAAACCCTTCATAGACCGGTAGGTCTAAGTGGAATTTACATGGAATCATGGCACCCTGTAAGACATTCCTTTAGCTCACGTTGCAAAATACATTTTTAAAAACCCACATGGGGAACAAATGTAGAGTGCTTGATTTTCAGAGGTGCTAAATCCCAACAACTCCAGCTGAAATCAAGGATGACCTTAGCAGCATCTCACAATGCCCAGTAGCAGGAGCCCATTTTAAAATCTAAGCACTGAAGTTTGACACCTAATTCTCCATTTGGGTGCCCAAGGTGGAACTCAGATGCCTCAACTAGGGATTTTGGGTTTTTTTTTTATTTGAATGCACAAATGAGGAAATGGGTATCTTCCTTTAATCTGCCCAGCTTTGAAAACCAGACTCCACAAAGAAAGGAGAACTAGAATGATTTGTATTGATTTAGAGCACAGATGGGGGTACATCTGTATGATTTAGAGATGGGCTTTCGGGTTTTGGTTTGGAACAGCACAAAGTTTGGGGGCTCAGCTCCAAAGTCTTGGTTCAGCCTGTTATTATGCCCTAGTGGCTCCACAGTGAAAGTGGAGATTCGCATGGGCGGGAAATATGGTTCTGAGTGTGTATGCCGTCTCTCTGCCTGCAGCACAACTGGATGCACGGGAACCCCGCTGGACTGCAGGCAGGCAGGCTAGCATGTGGTGTGGAGTGGGGCCTGCAAGTGAAAGTGTCATGAGAAACGCATGACACTTAACAGCTTTCGGCTCAGGGGGATTGGGCTCACTGGCCCAGTGTCCCTGAGTCTAGTATCATGTGGAGCACTGATACCTTTATCCTTATCCATCATTCAGGAAAATCCCAAAGGGATGTAGCCTCCTTGCAGATCGAGCGCCACCTGGATTGGTGTCTAGCTAGATCCATAAGACTGTCTGGCTGCTCTATCTCAATCACTGTCAGTCTTATCACACCACCAAAGCTTTTGGTGACCACATGATCACTGGACAGGTAGCAGCATTCCTTGGTTAACATGATTCATAATTCATTGGTCTTCCATCCCAGTAATATGACTGCTACATTTAAACTAAACTAGAAATAGCTACAAGGAGAAATAATAGCAAAAACAACAAGGAGTCCTTGTGGCACCTTAGAGACTAACAAATTTATTTGGGCATAAGCTTTCGTGGGCTAAAACCCACTTCTTCAGACGCATGGAGTGGAAAATACAGAAGGCAGGTATAAATACACAGCGCATGAAAAGATGGGAGTTGCCGTACCAAGTGGGAGGTCAGTGCAACTCCCATCTTTTCATGTGCTGTGTATTTATACCTGTCTACTGTATTTTCCACTCCATGCATCTGATGAAGTGGGTTCTAGCCAACGAAAGCTTATGCCCAAATACATTTGTTAGTCTCTAAGGTGCCACAAGGACTTCTCATTGTTTTTGCTGATACAGACTAACACGGCTACCCCTCTGAAAAGAGAAATAATGTTTCTGTCACCTTTTACCAACAAGGATGCTGTAGTCTGCTCATCACCGGAATCACAAGTGTAGTCTCCAAAGTCTTTCAGCTGCAAGTCATGAATTAGGAGTTCCACGGTAGATCCCTTCTGTCTCATCTCATACTTGGCACTAGCTTGGAGCAAGACTGAACCCTTTCTCCATTTCACTGGGGCATTGGGTTTGGAGAGCTCAGCGTGTAGGGTGACGGTAGAGCCCTCCTCGGCTTCTTGGTTCTGGAGTTTTTGTTCAAAAAGTGCTGGAATGGCTGGGTTCCACAGACAAAAAAATAGGGTCAGGTATCATGCCATTCAGTACATCCACTCACAGTACAACTGCATTTGGATTTGCTTGGTATCACAAGCAACACTTGGATTGTGGAGTCAACATTATAGTCGGGCAAAACTGGTGAACACTTTTCACGGGGAAAATTTCCATGTGAAATTGGAAACATTTCATTTCTCTTGAACTTTGTGACTGATGCTTTGTCGTAGCACATCTAATATTAAAGGTAAAATAATACAGGCGCAATAGCAAACTATCCCGATAAGAAGGAAAAATAGGAAGAATAACAAGAAACCAATATGGCTATATCAGGAGTTCTATAATGATTTGAAATCATAAAAAAAAGATGAATGAGGAGTACTTGTGGCACCTTAGAGACACACAAATTTATTTGGGCATAAGCTTTCATGGGCTAAAACCCACTTCATCGGATGAAGCCCACAAAAGCTTATGCCCAAATAAATGTGTTAGTCTCTAAGGTGCCACAAGTACTCCTGTTCTTTTTGCTGATACAGACTAACACGGTTACCACTCTGAAACCTGAAATCATAAAAGAATCCTACAAAAAGTGGAAGCATAGACAAATTGCAAAGGATGAATACAAAAGTATAGCACAAGTATGCACAAAATCAGGAAGACTAAGGCACAAAATGAATTACACCTAGCAAGGGATATAAAAGGCAATAAGAAGAGATTCTATAAATACATTAGAGGCAAGACAGACAAGAAGAAAAGTTGTAGGTCCATTACTGAGTGGGGAAAGAAAGCTAATAATGGATGACACCAAAAAGGCTGAGGTGTTTAATGCCTTTTTTGCTTCAGTCTCCATTGAAACAGTTAATTGTGACCCGATACTTAACACAAATAACATTAACAATAATGGGGAAGGAACACAAAAGTCAGAATAGGGAAAGAACAGGTTAAAGAGCTGGGACCAGAGACTTGGCCCGCAACTGGAGTCCCAGGCACAGGGCCGGCAGCCAAGGCCAGAAGAGGAGCTGGGTGGTGCTCCCTCCCCATCCCCCATGGGGGCTGGTCCAGGCCCCAACCATGCCTCCCCCAAACATTCCTCCGCACGCCCCACAACTTGGGAACCTCTGGCCGAACTCATGGAGGATAGATGAGGTCCCAGAGGACTGGAAAAGGCGAACATAGTACCTATCTTTTAAAAAAAGGGAACAAAGAATACACAGTCAGCTAGAGACAAACCAGCCTAACTTTGATACCTGGAAAGATACTGGAGCAAATTATTAAACAATCAATTTGTAAGCACCTAGAAGATAATAATAGAGTAATAAGTCACAGCCAACATGGATTTGTCAAGAACAAATCCTGCCAAACCAACCTAATTTCCTTCTTTGAGAGAGTTACTGGCTAAGTGAATGGGGGGAAGCAGTACACATGATATATCTTGATTTTAGTAAGGCTTTTGATATAGTTTCAGATAGCATTCTCATAAGCAAACTAGGGAAATGTGGCCCCGATGAAAGTACTATAAAGTGGATGCACAACTGGTTGAAGGACCATACTCAAAGAGTAGTTATCAATGGTTTGCTGTCAAACTGGGAGGACGTATCTAGTGAGCTCCCAAAGGGATCAGTCCTGGGTCTGGTACTATTCAATATTTTCATTAATGACATGGATAATGGAGCGGAGACTATGGTTATAAAATTTGTGGGTGACACTAAGATAATGGAGGTGATGCTGCTCTCTCTTACACCAATGTAAATCAAGAACTCCACTGAAGTCAGTAGAATTACACAGATGTAAAAACGATATGATCGCTGTTAATAGCTTTAGATATACACTGGAGCCTGGACTCTGGGACCCTCCCCCATTGCTGGGGTCCTAGAGCTTGGGCTCCAGCCCTTGCTTGAACGTCTACACAGCAATTTTACAGCCCTGCAGCCCGAGTCCCACAAGCCCGAGTCAGCTGACCAGGGCCAGTCGCAGGCGTTTAATAGCTGTGTAGACAGACCCTAAATATACAGATAGTTAAGTACTGGAATATGCTTCCAAAGGAGGTTGTGGAATCTCCATCATTGGATATATTTAAGAACAGGTTAAACCAACACTTGTCAGGGATGGTCTAGGTATACTTGGTCCTGCCTTAGTGCAGGGGGCTGGTCTGGATGACCGCTTGAGGTCCCTTCCAACCCTACATTTCTAGGATTCCATATCATAAATTTGAGTCAAAATGGTATGTGTTACTCACTCTTGGCCCAAAATAATAATAATAATATTGCAATCTGGATATTGAAAATTTCCCACTGAAATATTATTTCTATTTTAAGAAGGGGAAACATTAAGGGTATGTCTACACCCAGCCGCTAGTTCGGCGGCTGGGAATCGAAGTTCTGGGTTCGACTTATCGCGTCTTGTCTGGACGCGATAAGTCGAACCAGGAAGTGATCGCCGTCGACTGCGGTACTCCAGCTAGACGAGAGGAGTACCGCGGCGTCGACGGGGGAGCCTGCCTGCCGCGTGTGGACCGAGGTAAGTTCGAACTAAGGTTCGTCGACTTCAGCTACGTTATTCACGTAGCTGAAGTTGCGTACCTTAGTTCGAATTGGGGGGTAAGTGTAGACCAAGCCTAAGAGTTTAGATGATTGGCCTTTGTGGCACTGTAGTTTAGTGACGTAGACAGGTGGATGAGAATCAGATTATCTGGTTTCTAATCTTAGTCTATCAGTGTTTTACTAAGTGAGCACAGACAAGCCATTTAGGTCAGTTACTTCAAAAGAATTCCCTAATCTGGGGTGTCTCAATGTTGGGGGGTCCACATTAGACACCTCAGGTCTGACTTTCACTAATGCTGATGTCCGGCATCTCCCATTGACTTCCAGTGTATAGCTAAAGCTATTAACCGTGATCATATCATTTTTTACATCTGTGTAATTCTATTGACTTCAGTGGAGTTCTTGATTTACACTGGTGTAAGAGAGAGCAGCATCAGCACCATTATCTTACCTTGCAGGATCCTTTTTTTGGTGTATATTGACTAAGGCCAATGCAATAGAGAACTCTGAATGTCAGGACTGAGGTGACAGAATAATCACTGGGCTCAACAGAGCATGACGGTGAAATTCTATGACCAGTGTTATACAAGCAGTCAGACTAGATGGTCCCTTCTGGCCTTAAAATCTATGAATCTGTGAACAGGGTTGAGGCCCAGAGCTGGACTACAAGGGGGACTCTCAACTCAGTAATGAAGTTCATTGACAGAGATGTACTGGAGTAGTTTGCAAACATTTATTCAGAGTAAAACTAGCGCTGTAGCCAGTACCTGCTAGTCCCTCACTTTAAAAGTTATGATAGTAACCAAATAAGATATGAAAGCGGATGTACATACACAGTAACAAATTTCCATAACTGTTTAGTAATATTCACAGAGAGCATTCATTATGGGGCCATTACCACTGTCATATGCAACATCCAATGGAAATAAATCAGTATCTTGGACTATCCATAAAAAGCATTTAACGTAACTACTAAAACCAGGGGACTAAAACCTCAGCAGATGTAAATCAAATTAGCTCCCCTGAATTCAAAGGATCAGCTGAAGATCTGGCCCAGTGCATCTGATAGAAGTAGGACTGTGCTTGTTAACTTGAACAAATATGTCATTTAAAAAATATTCAAAAACCTACCTTTGACAGTTAAAGTGGCTGTAGTTTGCTGATTTTTGTTATCACAAGTGTATTTGCCCGAATCTTCTGGCTTTAAATTATAAATCTTTAACGTATGGATTGTCCCCTCTTGCCTGATTTCATATTTGGAGCTTGGAGAAATCACCTGGGAGCCCTTCCTCCACTCCACTGATACATTGGGCTGAGAGACCTCGCACTCCAGGGCAGCTGTAGCATCCTCCTCCAATTCTGTGTTCTTTAGAGTCTCCTTAAAGACTGGAAGCGGTACTGAAATTATAAATATATGGAGGATGGAATTGCAGGAGCTTGTAATTACTCTAGTCTAGTTTTCAAGATTATGCCTTTGACAGTACACATTGTCAACCACTCAGCTCTGAGCCTCTTACAATGCTATGTCCCCATAATAACTGGCGTGCAAATGATGCAATGGAATGTTTAAATACTAAAAAGTGTTTTAACTTCTATGAAGGTTTTGTAAGACTATTTTTGAAGCAAAAGCCTGCATTTTGGACCTAAGCTACTTGACAGCATCTCTTAAAATATCATATTGTAATGAAGGGTTACCATCCGTCCGTATTTCCCCGGACATGTCCAGCTTTTTCGTCTTTAAATAGCCATCCGGGAAGAATTGGTAACAAGGTTAAAAGGTCCGGGATTTTTCCCCCTCCCCTCCCTCCCTCCCTTCCATGCAGAGTGCGGTGTGGCTGATTGGGCGGCTGGGCCTGATTGAGCCGCTCCCATTGGCCTCCAGCAGCAGAGCCCCTCCCCTGCTCCCCCCCTGCTGCCTCAACACTCTGCGGGGGAGGCGTGTTTTGCCTCCACGTGGAGGAGCCAGCATCTGACCGGCATGGGCATGGTAAGGGGAGTCCCGGGGGGCAGTCAGGGAGCAGGAGGAGGGTTGGATGGGTTGGGAGTTCGGGGGGGGGGGGCTGGCAGGGGGCAGGGGTATGGAGAGGGGTTGGGACAGTCAGGGACAGGGGGGGTTAGATGGGTCGGAGGTTCTGGGGGGGCTCTCAGGGGAGCGGGGGTGTGGAGAGGGGTCGAGGCAGGCAGGGAGCAGAGGGGGTTGGATGGGTCGGGTGTTCTGGGGGACCTGTCAGGGGGCGGGGAGTGGTTGGATGGGGCGTGGGAGTCCTGGGGGTCTGTTTGGGGGTGGGGGTGTGAATATGGGATGGGGGAGCGGCGGGTTATATTCTTCTGTGGTGCCCGAGCTCCAGGAATATTTGGAGCTGGGTCTCTCCCCCGGCCCTGCCTGGAGCGGGCCCCAGCCTCCACCTGCCACCCCCCCTCTGCGCATCCCTCCCCCGTGGGTCCCCCCCGTCCCTGCCCGAAAGAAAGCAGCGTGCGCCTCCCCCGTGCCTGCTTGTGCTGCCAGAGTAGCACATTCCTACGCAGAGCCCTGCTCCCGGCAGCAACTGCTGTCTACTGCCCCAGGGTCCTAGTGCCCCCCATCCACTAATGGCAAGGCAGGCTGCCCTTACCCTGCCCTTCCACCCTAGCCCTGAGCCTCTCCAATGCCCCAAACCCCTCATCCCCAGCCCCAGCCCTCATCCCCCCACACCCTAATCCTCTGCCCCAGCCCTGAGCCCCCTCCTGAATCATGAACCCCTCATCCTCAGACCCACAGCCCTCACCCCTGCACTCCCTCCTATCCCCAAACTCCCTCCCAACCCTCCTCCCCCTCCCTTTGCACCGCCCCTCCTGCCCCCAAACTCCATCCCAGAGCCTGCACCCCTCACCCCCTCCTGCACACCCACCCCCTGTCCCAGCCCGGAGCCTGCACCCAGCACCCAAACTCCATCCCAGAGACTGCACCCTGCACCCCTCCTGCACCCTAATCCCCAGCCCAGGACCTGCACCCCAGACCTCCTCCCCCCACCCAACCCCCCTGCCAGAGCCTTAGGCAGGTGGGGGGGGGTGGGTTCTGGGCACCACCAAAATTTCTACAAACCTGCCACCCATAAGGGTCGGGGCAGTCAGGGGACAGGTAGGGTTCTAGGGGGGCAGTTAGGGTGGGGGGTTCTCAGGAGGGGGCAGTCAGGGGACAAGAAGCAGGGAGGGGTTGGGGGTTCTGTGGGGGGCAGTCAGGGGGTGGGAAGTGGGAGGGAGTGGATGGGGGCAGGGCAGGGGCAGGGCTAGAGCGGGGCTCTCCCTCCCCCCTCCGTGTCCTCTTTTTTGATTGTGGAAATATGGTAACCCTATGTAATGAAGCATTAATCAGTATTTTGGCTGGCTCAATGTCATGGTTAATAAGTGCAGGAAGGGAATACGGTTTGAGTTTGCAAGTGCAAAGTTCTTTGCAGCTACGAAGGGGCATTCAGGGAGAGAATGGCACTAAGAAATGGAGAGGAGAAGGTTCCATCAAAATCCTGATCCTAATCATCCTTGGTCATCTCATTTGATAACAGTAGTTCCAGTACGGTATATGGATGACACCTTGAGAAGCTGCACTCCACCCACACCATATTCTCACCCAGGCCATGGATCTTGTTACCTTTTACTGTGAGCTCTGCTGTAGACACATAGGGCCCCACTCTGAAAGTGATGGTGCCAGTATCCTGCTGGGTGACTTTCCTCAGTCTAAGTGTGTGAATCTTGCCTTTTTCAACAGAGATCTCATTCATTTCATTGCTCTGCAGAGCGACGTCCTGTAGCTTCCACTCCACATCCCTTGCGTGATCATGAGAAACCTGGCACTGAAACATAGCATCTTCCTCTTCAAACACCACCACGTTCTTCAGGCCACTGACTATGGTCACATCAGGCTCTACAAATGTTGCAATGTCCATTAGTGAAAGAATAAATGGCCGCACATGGACCAAAAACACAAGAGCGGCTCATCACAATTCTAGAAAACTGATTCTATGTCGGTTCTTATAACATGTCCATCACATTGGTATCTGAGCACTTTCTAGGTGCATTAGGTGACATGACTAACATCTTTCACATGTGGTTCTCTCTCTCTTCCTCTCTCCAAGGATAAAATTGTGTGTGTGTCTTTTAAAATAGCGCACCATGTGCTATCATAGAATCATAGAACTGGAAGGGACCTCGAGAGGTCATCTAGTCCAGTCCCCTGCACTCAAGGCAGGACTAAGCATTATCTAGACCAGTGGTCCCCAACCTTTCAGTGTGGCGGGCGCCTGATGACTAGCCGCCAAAATGCTGCCGAGGAGCGTGGCTGCCAGACAAGCAGCTGCCGAAATGCCGCCAAGGAGCAGCGTCATCAAGAGGCGTCGCCGATGAAATGCCGCCAAGAAGCAGCGGTATTTTGGCGGCGACGCTTCTTGACGTTGCTGCTTCTCGGCGGCATTTTGGCGGCTGCTTGTCCGGCGGCCGCGCTCCTTGGTGGCGGGGCGCTCCCTTGTCAGTAGGCAGGCGCACATAGATGCCCCGGCGGGCGCCATGGCGCCCATGGGCACCGTATTGGGGACCACTGATCTAGACCATCCTGACAGGTGTTTGTCCAACCTGCTCTTAAAAATCCACAATGATGGAGATTCCACAACCTCCCTAGGCAATTTTTTCAAGTGCTTAACCATTAGGAAGTTTTTCCTAATGTCCAGCCTAAACCGTCCTTGCTGCAATTTAAGCCCATTGCTTCTTGTCCTATCCTCCGAGGTTAAGAAGAACAATTTTTCTCCCTCCTCCTTGTAACAACCTTTTATGCACTTGAAAACTGTTATCATGTCCTCTCAGTCTTCTCTTTCCAGACTATGTGTTTATATTATTGAAAGCAATGTCAAAGAAGCTTGACTTGAACTTGACATGGAAAGTAGTGAGGTGGGAGGTAGTTTTTAGATACTGTGGGAGTTCGTTCCATGGTCTTGGATGAACCCACAAGAAAACTCTGTCTCCCGTAGCGACACTTCAGTAACTTCACACTTGCCATACTCAATTGACATGAGACCTGAAGATCTGGTATTACCTTGTGACAACTCTTTCAGTCAGCCTTTAAAGATGAAAAACTGTATTATATGCAGTAACTATTCTGATTTGTGAAATCTCACCATCTTGTCCTGAAAAGTAACCCCGCAGTAAAAGGCTCTTACCTTTCACAGTCAGCATTGCAGAGGTCGTCTCATCCCCAGCAATGCAGGAATACTCGCCAGTGTCTTTAGGCTCCAGGTGTTGAATACATAACTCATGAATGGTATCATCTTGTCTGATTCCATACTTGGAACTTGACTGAAGCAACCTGCCATCTTTCTTCCACTCTACTATAGCGTTAGTTATTGTGACCTCACAGCGTAGCTTGACCATTCCTCCCTCTTCTACTGTCTCATTCTTTAGCTGTTGCTTGAACAGAGGTTTAATAGCTGTGGAGTCAAGAACAGCCAATAGAAAATCCATTAGCTATGTGTTTGTATGTAGAAAGATGAACCCAGATACAATCCAACACAAGGAGCCTGGCTGCCTGGGGCCTCATGCTGCAGAACAAATATGCATTTAAATAATGTCAGAGGTAAATAAACCACTTGTGTTCCCAGTACATAAAGAAAGGCAAGCTCAGTGCAATTGCCCTAAAGCTTTTATCCCACACAAAGTTCAGGGTTTCTTTATCAGAAGGAGCTCTATTATGAGCCTTCTTGTGATGTAGAAGATAGCATTAGGAGTCAGGATGCACTATTAGCATTCATTCTAAATACAGAGTATACTCTTCTTACTAACACCAGTGTAACTCCATTGACTTTAATGGAGTTACTCCTGATTTACACCAACTTGAGAAAGAGGAGAATCAGGCCTTAAACACACGTTCTCTGTTGCACCACTATCTTTCCAAAATCCTTAGACTCTCAACAATAATCCCTTGCAGAAGATGAAGCACTATTGCACTAGAACAGATTCCATCCAACTACTTGGACAACTGTCACTGAACTGTTGGGAGGCTAGTTAATTATGTGACTAGCCACCCACTTTATTTTTGTTTTGTTTAAATGCTCATAGTGTTCATGATTTTCACTGCAATTTATTAAAGATGAAAATCAGTAGGTAATCAAAGTGCTTCTATAACTTGTTAATGCATAATGATCAGGGCCGGCTCTGGATTTTTGGCCGCCCCAAGCAACAACAACAACAAAAAAGTGGGCGGGGGAGAGAGAGAAGGGGGGCGGCCAGGGCTACAGTGGGGCGCTGCCACGCGGCCCCTCCGCGCCGCGCCACCTGCCGCCTTCTGGGAGGGCTCCGCTCTGGTTGGCTGGGAGGGAAGGACGCGGGCTGCCCTGCCGGGCTTGTTGCAGGGCGCTCCCGTCCTCCGCGCCGCTGCCCCATACAGGGCGGCCGGAGCGGAACAAAACAAAACAAAAAACAAAACAAAAAACGGCCATGCCGCCCTAGGATTGGGCAGAATGCCGCCTCGTTCAATCTGCCGCCCCAAGCACCAGCTTGCTCGGCTGGTGCCTGGAGCCGGCCCTGATAATGATTCTATTGTTGCACCAGACTAGAAAATAACCCAAACTACCAGAACTGAAGAATTAACATTTGTTAAAATCATGGAGTCCTCATATAGTGTGAATTTTCTTGCAACTGTTAATACTTGAGGGACACAAAGAGGTCATTTATATGTAGGGTTACCAGATAGCAATTGTGAAAAAACGGGACAGGGGATGGAGGAGGTAATAGGGGCCCATATAAGAAAAAGTCCCCAAAATTGGGACTGTCCCTTTAAAAACGGGACATCTGGTCAGCCTACTTATATGCAGTGAATTATGCACCCTAACAGGCATTCTAAAAATGTCCCTCCATAATCCACTTTTGTGCATTCCGATTTGTGGTTTTGTATCTGCTTTTCTCTCGTTCAACTTATTTCTAATTTGATGTATTCACAAAAAAATTCAGAGTAATTTCTCTAACATGTCACTGATCCATGTTTTTAAACTGCGCCCCATTTGGGGTGATGCTAACCATTCACTCTGAGGTTGGCTGTGCTCTGTTGATCGCCAGTATCACAGGTGTAATCAGATGTGTCTTCTGGTTCTGTGTTATGGATCACAAGTTCAGCTACGAGACCCTCTAATTTCATTTCGTATTTGGCACATGGAAAGAGGTCCATGGTGCCTTTCCTCCATTGCACAGAAGCCGTGGGCTTTGTCAGCTCACACTGGAGTTTTACTGTAGCTCCTTCTTCCACTTCCTTGTCCTTGAGCTCCCTTTTGAAAAGAACTGGGAGGGCTAAAAGGAAAGAGAAAAAAAAACGGGGGCTTTTATTTAACCCCAAATCAAGTACGTGTTAACATAACCAGACACTGACATTGTGGGAAAGGTAGCACCTGCTTTTTAAAAATACCCCCAAAGTCACTCTCATAGAATGTATACTGCCAACTTGCAATGACAATGGCAACTGATTCAATTATATTCAAAAGAGGCTGTCTTCAATTCGGAAGTTTCCTTCAAGTACTCTTTGACTTTACGCCTTCCCTTGGTTGAGTTCTCTGAGCAAAATTAACTTTGAACCGATCCCAGAGATATGTCGGTATTCAAAAATGAATCTTCCTAGGGCCAGACCCTGGGAAAGTCCCATGTTGGCCTCATTCCAGTTGCTAGATGGAGAACTTTGTTTTTGTTTAATATTGGAGAGGACATCAGTGGTGCATCAAGACAAATGTCCAGTGACGTTATGTTGACTCATTGCAGAGCTTCCCTCTCAAACTCTTCCCAAATGTATGGGAAAGTTACTCATGTTACAAGCCAACACTCTCATGGTCTGTGACAAAGCTTCCTCTCTGCTTCGGTGGGTCCTGCGCTTCCGTTTAGCGGCAGGCTGGGGTATTTCTCTTTTCCCTCCGAATTTTCCCCATGCTCCTGGTTTTACTGTCCACACCCTGTCAGAGCAGGGTCCCTGCCGGCCTCCCAGACCGTGGGGAGGGAGTGGAGCCTCTCAGTCTCTGGTAGCCCCTCCGGTCGTGGTGGCAGCAGACCAGACACCCGGTTCAGTCTCTCCCCTGGAAGGGTCTCTTCCCTCAGACCTCCGGGGCCCAGAAGGGCCATCAGCCCCGTTAGGCAGAGATTCTCCTGCCCTTCGCCTCTGTACCTGCGTGGCTTCTCTCCTAATGCTTGTTAGTGTCTGCACTGCCCAGCTCTCCTGTAGCTTGCCCTTCTCCCTCAGCTCCTATCTGGCTGGAGGGGAGGCTTTTAACAGGTTCTGGCAGGCCCTTCATTGGCCCCAGATGTCCTAATTAACCTAGAGTAACCCCTGTTCAGCTACCAAGGGAAAAGGGACCTGCTTATCCTGGGGCTAATATATCTGCCTTCCAGCACTCTCCTGTACTGCTTGCGCCCGCCCACCTTCCCAGAACCCATTAGGAGCAGTCTCCTGTAGCTGTCTGGCTTGACCCCGTCCCAGCTCCTACAAACAAATACGATCTCTTAAAATAAAGCACCGTCTCCTCTTCCATATCACTGTCCCCTTCAGGACAATGGTGCGGGGCAACTTTATTTTAAAAAAAATATTAATAAGATGGAAGGAAGAAAATCATTATACCCCAAAATTATATAATTCAATCATGTTCCTTTTGTGTGCTGAAGCAAATGGATTGTTTCAGGAGTGAAGTCAGGGAGGGACTCTCGTCACCTACCTTTCACATATAAAGACGCCTTTGTTTCCTGTTCGCCAATATCACAGCTGTATTCCCCTGTATCTTCTACTTGGAGATTATGTACTAAGAGCTCTACGATGCATTTCCTCTGTTTCATTTCATACTTATTGCTAGGCTGCAGCCCCAGGCCTCCTCTCCTCCATTCCACTGGAACGTTTGGTTTTGACAGCTCACAATGTAACGTGGCTGTACCTCCTTCTTCAGCCTCCTGATTCTGAAGGGGCTGCTTAAATACAATGGGCAGGGCTGCAAAAATTGAGAGGTAAATATTTTAAGTGCATGTTAGTCCTCAAAAGAAGATATCTGCCAGGGTCCATCAAGAACAAGCTAAACCAGGGTTTCTCTAACACTGGTCTGTGGACCACCTCTTATCGGCCCATTGCATGAACCATTTTTGAACCAAGAAACGGTGGTGGGGTGGGGTGAAGATTGTGGCGTTAGGAGCAGAGTTTGTTCATGAGTAGATCTGTCTCACAAAGTAGTCCACAAAATGAACAAGTCTGAGAGCCACTGATCTATTCTAATCAGACTTTTCTATGGAAGCATCTCTACAAGAACAGAAGAGGCTGCATTTGAAGAACACGGCATCTGAAAGTGAATTTGTCCTCCTATGTGGTCTCTTTCCCTCCTATCAGCTTTTAAGATTTACAACAGCCTGTTGTGTTTTGCTTAGAGAATCTTCTCCTTTAGACTGTGAACGCCTTGGAACAGAGACTATCTTTTTGTTCTGTGTTTGTACAGCACAAAGCACAGTGGGGTCCTGGCCTGTGACCAGGGCTACAGTAATATAAATAAATAATACTAGTAATAGATAAATCCTCAGCCAATGCATAAAAGGCAACGTTAAGTTTCAAAATGTCACAGTGGTTAGTACAATGGGAAATGAATGGAATTGAAGAAAGAGTTTCAGCTTTCAGAAAGGACCTAGTTTAGTATGACACCAGGGGGTTAGGCAGGTAAGTCGAGCAACACTAATTGCATTCAAACTCTACCGTCAGCGTGTAGCACTGACCACTCAGAACATGTAATAAATATCTGTTTCCCACAACTCTACCTGCCTGCACTACCAGTTATTATTAATGAAGAAAAAAAAAAAAAAGAACAGCTCGAAAAAGAAAAGGGAATTCAGCAACAAATAACTCATCGTTGTGTTTTCTCTCATCGGCACTTAAGTTATACAGTAACTATAGTCAACATTTAATTGACAGCAAAGTTTCTTTCACCAGACACAGCTTTTCCCTTCTGGGCAAAATCTCTGTCGCCATAAAAAAACAGCTGCTCATGATGGAAAGTCAGCCAATTCTGCCACATAAACTGCCTTTCATTTGCACAAAGTAATTTGAAGCAAAAGTTAAAAAAAAAAAAACTTTCACTTTTCACAAACCCATAAACATAGCACTTTTACCCATTTCACTAGTAGTGGTCATTCCCTGCCCTACGGATTCAGAGGACGTCTGAAGTTGGACCAAATTAATTACTAGTGAAACTCCACGGACTTCAGCTTGGGTTACAAAAATCCACTTGGCGCATTCAGTGTGAGAAACATTTTAAATATGGGGTCACTCACACAAACAGCCGTTATAGAAGAGCTCACCAAATTCTCATTTACTATCAACTTCACTCCACTCAGACGGCTTGGGGGCATCAGTACCCAATCACCATATTGTTTAACTGCTTTGCTGCTGCTGCTGCTGCTTGAACATTTCAGGTATGCCAGGCAACCCCCACTCCCTCAAGACTGGCACATGTGCCAGATGGGGAACATTCCATTCAGATTTCAGTGGAATACACGAAGAGCACAACAGAACATACACTGGAATAGAGGACCAGCAGCAAAGCAACTAAGGCAAAATTAGAAGGCCTTTATTTCATAGCACATTTACGTGGCCAGTGTTGCAACGTTCTGCCTACCATGTATGGTCACTGCAGCTGTTGTCTGTTGATCCCCAGAGTCACAGGTATATTTTCCTGTATCTTCCAGTTTTAAGTCATGAATGATCAGCTCAGCAATGGGCCCTTGTCGCTTCAGCTCATATTTCAGTCCAGGGTAGAGAGTTGTAGTGCCTTTCCTCCACTCTACTGGAGCACTCGGTTTGGTAAGCTCACACCGCAGTGTGACTGTGCCACCTTCTTCTGCCTCCTCATCCCGAAGCTCATGTTTAAAAAGTGCTGGTAGGGCTATGAAATAAAAACATAACGTACATCATAAAGCAACTGGGCTTTCTCGGGGGAGAGATATTGTAGAAAGAGTTTGAACTCTGTAACCCTCTACACTGGACTATTTTAGTGTGTCAAAGCCTCGGGAATCTACGGTAGTAGATCCCAAACAGGTCATGTGCATATTTTCAGAACCAGAAGGTATCTATTTCAGGAAGCATTTTGCTCATTCTTAACATGAACCAGGACCTTACAGGTGGCAGGAGACTTTTATTGCTACAAAAGTAACCAATATGCTGTGTCCGCCCCCTGGTCTTGGAAAAGTTCTCGGGGCTGAAGAGTTGATCTGAACATCTGAGCATTTCAATATTTTTCCTAAAGGAGGGTTTTAAGGGATGAAATTAGAGTTACATGGCCCATCTTGGGGCCTGCATGGGATTCTGTGTTGCAATTCTCTTTTGCTGCATGACCACTCTGTTATGCCATTTGGGCTACGCTCTTCTGCTCCCCTTGCTGATTTAATTGTATTCCTGGCCCAAAACTGATGCAAGCTTGTCTGAAACTTGGCCCAGTTTTGCCAAAGAGTTTGTGAAGCTCACTGAACAATTCAGTTCACCTGGGCTGCTTTTTTTGGTTTGCACAATGCACTCGTACAATGAATTGCTCTAGATCTGTTTAATATCTCCTAAATTGCAAACGTGATCCATGACAAAAGAGTGGCCATAATAAAAATTACTATAGTACACTAAGGCCCAATTCAAAGTAAATGGAATAGAACCTGAGGGCTGGTCTACACTCAGCCGCTAGTTCGGCGGCTGGGGATCGAAGTTCTGGGTTCGACTTATCGCGTCTGGTCTGGACGCGATAAGTCGAACCAGGAAGTGCTCGCCGTCGACTGCGGTACTCCAGTTCGGCGAGAGGAGTACCGCGGAGTCGACGGGGAGCCTGCCTGCCGTGTGTGGACCGCGTCTGAACCGCGGTAAGTTCGAAGTAAGGTATGTCAACTTCAGCTACGTTATTCACGTAGCTGAAGTTGCGTACCTTACTTCGACTTGGGGGGTTAGTGTAGACCAGGCCTGAGTCACAAACATCCATCCCAGGGCTGAAGTACAGAATACAGCACACCAGAAAGGCACAAATATTGGTCAAAGGCTTTGCTCACGCTAGTCTTCTTACTGAATCTCAAGGTAGTTAGCGAAGGATGCAGGATTCAGCCAAAAATGTGCACAAAACCACACCTCTCATATACCAATAGTCAGAAGCATTATTCCTATAATAGCAGAAGGGGATGCAGGGAAATTGCAAGAGGCACTTATATAGGATGCCCAGATAATGTACAGAGATAAAAACATGTAACTTTCAGATTTAAAAAGGATGATGAGTCACATCCTTCTTTCATTTTAGGAAACTTTTAATCCCCTCTCTTAAGACATCTTCTCAGTATAAAATGCATGAGGACTCTAACACAGTATTATTGAGAGCTATTTTAAATAGAGTACTCCAGCCTTATATTTGTTGTGTGCTGGAGTATTATTGTATGGGTACGAGCCTTAATAGCAAGCTTTGGATCCCATGACATTATTTCAATAAGCAAAGCTGGTATTAAAAATACTTCAGAAATTAGTTTCTTTTCCTTTTTACCATGCACTGTTAAGGCAGCTGTGGTCTTCTGGTCTCCACACACACAGGTATAATCTCCAGCATCCTTCAGGTCTAAACCGTGGACTACCAGCTCCATAATGCAACCTTCCTGTCTCATTGTGTACTTGTCATTCGGTTTGAGCACTTTGTGCCCCTTCTTCCACTCCACTGGGGCAGCGACCTTGGTCAGCTCACAGTGCAGAGTGGCTGTTCCACCTTCTGTGGCTTCCTCACTGCACATTTCTTCTTTGAAAGATGGAGGCAGAGCTGAAGGATGCAATATATACAGTGCATTACAAACTGATGGCAATTAGCTGCTGTAATTGAAAAACAGGAGGTAGAGGGGAAAGCAGAAAAGAGTGAAGGAGGATAGCGCTTGAGAAGAACGGAGGAGAAACAGCAGAGAAGTGAAAAGTGATATTTTATCCCAATTGAAATGTATGTCTGAATTCTTGTATTGTTTAGTCTGGTTTTACACTTGTGAAACGTCACAGGCCTCAATAGAGTTACTCCTGACTTACATAACATAAGAACGGCCATACTGTCTTCCAACAGTGGCCAATGCAGGTGCTTAAGAGGGAATTAATAGAAAAGGAGACTATCGAATGGATCCATCCCGTCGTCCACTCCCAGCTTCTGGAAATTAGAGGCTAGGGACACTCAGAATATGGGGTTGCATCCCTGACCATCTTGGCAAATAGCCATTGATGGACCTATCTTTCACGTCGGGGAGGGGGGGACGACATTAAGACCATAATTTTTGGTATCCTCCACCTAGCTCCAAGATAATTAGCTCTGTAATGGCCCCCTTATGTCTCATTTTGTATTTCTCACTTGCTTTCAATTCCTTCTGCCCCCTTCTTCCACTCCACTAGAGCTGCCTTGGTCAGCTGACTGTGAGGTACGGTTCCTTGCTTTGGTTTTCTCATCATTCTTTAGTTCTTCTTTTAAAAATGCAGTCATGGCTGATGGGCTCACCATGAGCATAGAAGTAATCCAAACTCCACAGAACTTTGAACCCTAACTTGTCCTCCTTCCCCAGGATATGATTTTTCTGCTTATGCATTCCTCATTTATCTTCTTCGGATATCTGTCTTGATACATCTCACCCACCCTCTAAAGATAACAATCTCCTCTAAACAATGTCTGATAACATTTTCATGACTATTGTTCCCGATTAACTACATAGGCTAGTATGTCAGCTTTCAAGTCATACCTGCACAGTCTCAAATTGGAAAAGAAAATAACATTAAAATGTAAAGGTTGGGTCAGACCAAAATCCCAAATTTGAATCCCAAATCCAAACTATGGGCCTAAGTCTAATCTCCTTGGACGTGATGTATTTCCCACTTAAACTAGTTCGAAACCGAGGTACTGACTTCAACCGTGATTTTTATATCAGTGTGAAAACAAAACAAGATCAAATCAAGAAATCATCATTATCACCTCAGAAAATCAGACTCCAAAGCAAAGCCATCTGAATGGACAATGGCTGCAGGAACAGAACCCTGGTGCAAAACTAGTTCTTATAGAGGAAGTTTTGACTAAATTATTCTTGTGATCTGAGTAGTATTTATTTCCCTATACAAATAGTAGACAGACAGTAAAAGAAAATGCCAGAAAAGAAAGACAACAGAATTGCCAGAGTTGTGTTTTAGGAAAGGAAAAGGCAGAAGTTGGATGTGTTAGATAGTACATGAGGATGCAGAATGAGATTTTTCTATACAGGTAGCCTCCAGTTTACTAAAGCTAAGGAATGTTATTCTAAAAAAATGGAGCTGCAGTGAATGAAGCAGACAGAACAGATAAAGGAAATGTGGACACAGAGCCAAGTTTTCCTACCAAGGACGCAGGTGATAAGAAAAATTAGACCTAGTTCATGACAAAATATTATTACCATGTACTGTTAAAGCAGCCGTGGTCTGATGTTCTCCACACACACAAGTATAATCTCCTGTATCCTTCTCATCTAGATCATGGACAACCAGCTCTGCAATGGCACCTTCCAGTCTCATTTTGTATTTCTCACTTGCTTTGAGTACCTTGTGCCCTTTCTTCCACTCCACTGGAACAGCCTTGGTCAGCTCACAGTGGAGAGTGGCGTTTCCACCTTCTTTAGCTTCCTCATTCTTTAGTTCTTCTTTAAAAAGTGCTGGCAAGGCTGAGGGACGCAACACGGACAAAGTGGGCATCAAAATTCCAGAGTTTGAACCCTAATTTCTCATGATATTTCCATTCAGACATTTCTCATTTATCTTGTTCTAACATCTGCTTCGATATGACTGACACCAATCCTTAAAAGAAAACAACTCCTGGTACTGTTGGACCATGTTTTTACTTACTGACAATACCTGGAGTCTGGAACCTCAAAGCCATGTTATTCATCATGGACAGTACCTCACCTCTCACAAGAACATTACAAATGAGATGTAGTGCCTATGTCAATGGAATTGACAATTTACGCTGCTAGATGTAATCTTATTCTACCTATATGGACATGATCTCTTGGAGACTGGCACACCGATAAGTTTTCAGACCACTTACAAGCTAAAATAATGAAAGCAACTAGACAGCAAAACATAAATCACACACTTCTGGTTTTAAATCGAGGTGCATGGGAACGCCTCTAAAACATGACCAGAGAATGTTGGCTTCTCACTTATCTCCTCAGAAACCATACCCCAAAATAAAAACATCCATAGGAGACAAACAATGTCTATAGGAACAAAACTCTGGTGCAAATTTCAGCCAAACGTGCCTCATGCATAACAAGTGTTAACTAGGGAAGGAGAACAGGAAAAGAACAAGGCCTAGAAAAGGAGTCAGAAGAAAAGAAAAATCCATGCTTCAGGGAAGGACAGGGAGCATTAGGATGTGGTCAGATAAAGCACAATGGGATAGGATAGGATCTTTTTGTATAAATAGCCTCCATGTCTTCAGAACCAGGGAACGTTACTCCACACAAAAGGAGTTGCAGTGAATGAGGTGGAGAGTAGTAAAACAGATTAAGGAAATGTGAACACGGAGCAAGGATTTATTTCCAATTTTGTTTCTAAGGAAGCAGCAGAATAAAACATAATAAGCACTGATAGTGTATTAGCTGACAGTTTATTTTTACCATTTACTGTTAAGGTAGCTGTGGTCTGCTGGTCTCCACACACACAGGTATAATCTCCAGTGTCCTTCACCTCCAGATTGCAGATAGCCAGCTCTGCAATGGCACCTTCTTGTCTCATTTTGTATTTCTCACTGGCTTTGAGCACTTTGTGCCCTTTCTTCCACTCCACTGGAGCAGCCTTGGTCAGCTCACAGTGCAGAGTCGCTGCTCCATTTTCTGTAGCTTCCAAGCTCTTCAGTTCTTCTTTGAACAGTGGAGGCTGGGCTGAAGAATACAAAAGGAATGGAGAGTGCATGAAAGTTCACACTGGCAGCTGGCTGGTGTGTTGGGGAGAAAATTGAATCCTACAGCGTGAAGACCTGGTCCAATGTCCATAGAATGCAATGGAAAGGCGCCCATTGGCTTCGGTGGGCATTGGACAAGGACCTTAAGAAGAATATAAAGTAAAATGGAAGGAGGAAAGGTAGCTGAGAACATTTGCATATACACAATTATTTTCCCCATTATAAACCATAGGAAGAGTAATACAAGCAAATTGCAAGGGCATGTAAAAAGACAAATTGAAAGCATGGGAAAAGAACACAACAAGCTAATAAAATCCAGCTAAGGAAGAGCTTGCAATGGAATAATACTGCTGTCATAAATAAGACAGTAAACCAAAACGCATACATGTAATGTCTCATATCTATTTATTTTACCATGCACTGTTAAGGCAGCTGTGGACTTCTGGTCACCACACACACAGGTGTAATCTCCAGCATCCTTCAGGTCTAAACCATGGACCACCAGCTCCACAATGCAACCTTCCTGTCTCATTGTGTACTTGTCATTCGGTTTGAGCACTTTGTGCCCCTTCTTCCACTCCACCGGGGCAGCGACCTTAGTCAGTTCACAGTGCAGAGTGGCTGTTCCACCTTCTGTGGCTTCCTCGTTGCACATTTCTTCTTTGAAAGATGGAGGCAGAGCTGAAGGACGCAATATATACAGTGTGTTACAGACTGATGGCAATTAACTGCTGTAGTTGAAAAACAGGGGCTGGAGGGGAAATCAGAAAAGAGTGACGGAGGATAGCGCTTGAGAAGAACGGAGGAGAAACAGCAGAGAAGTGAAAAGTGATATATCCCAATTGAAATGTATGTCTGAATTCTTGGATTGTTTAGTCTGGTTTTACACTTGTGAAACATCACTGACCTCAGTAGATTTACTCCTGACTTACATAACGTAAGAATGGCCATACTGGGTCAGCCCAGTATCCTGTCTCCTAGCAGTGGCCACTGCAGGTGCTGAAGAGGTAATGAACAGAAAACGCAATCATCAAGTGATCCATCCCCCTGTCGTCCGCTCCCAGCTTCTGGCAATCAGAGGTTAGGGACACTCAGAATATGGGGTTGCAGCCCTGACCATCTTGGCTAATAGCCATTGATGGACCTGTCTTTCACATCAGCAAGGGGAGCATGAAGACCATAATCTTTAGTATCCTCCACCTAGATCGGAGATAATTAGCTCTCTTAATGGCCTCCTTCTGTCTCATTTTGTATTTCCTTCTGCCCCCTTTTCCCACTCCACTACAGCTGCCTTGGTCAGCTGACTGTGAGGTATGGTTCCTTGCTTTGGTTTTCTCTTCATTCTTTAGTTCTTCTTTTAAAAATGCAGTCAGGGCCAATGGGCTCACCGTGAGCAGAGAAGTGATCAAAACTCCACAGGTCTTTTCACCCTAACTTGTCCTCCTTCCCCAGGATATGATTTCTCTGTTTACGCATTCCTCATTACCTTCTTCAGATATCTGCCTTGATACGTCTCACCAACTCTCTACAGATAACAATCTCCTCTGAACAATGTCTGATAACATGCTCATGACTATTGTTCCCAATTAACTACGTGGGCTAGTATCTCAGCATTACAAATGAGATGTCGTGCCTATGTTAATGGAATTGACAATTTACGCTGCTAGATGTAATCTTATTGTACCTATATGGACATGATCTCTTGGAGGCTGGCACACCGATAAGTTTTCAGACCACTTACAAGCTAAAATAATGAAAGCAACTAGACAGCAAAACATAAATCACACACTTCTGGTTTTAAATCGAGGTGCATGGGAACGCCTCTAAAACATGACCAGAGAATGTTGGCTTCTCACTTATCTCCTCAGAAATCATACCCCAAAATAAAAACATCCATAAGAGACACAAACAATGGCTACAGGAACAAAGTCCTAGTGCAAAACTAATTCTTATGACGCAAATTTCAGCCAAACTTGCCGCATGCATAATGAGTGTTAACTAGGGAAGGAGGACAGGAAAAGAACACTGCCCAGAAAACAAGGAGTCAGAAGGAAGGAAAAATCCATGCTTTAGGGAAGGACAGGGGGCATTAGGATGAGTCAGATAAAGCACGATGGGATAGGATAGGATCTTTTTGAATAAATAGCCTCCATTTCTTCAGAGCCAAGGAATATTATTCCAAACAATAGGAGTTGCAATGAATGAGGTGGGCAGAAGTACAACAGATAAAGCAAATGTGAACACAGAGCAAGGATTCATTTCCAAATTTGTTTCTAAGGAGGCAGCAGAATAAAACATCATAATTACTGATAGTGTATTAGCTGACAGTTTATTTTTACCATTTACTGTTAAGGTAGCTGTGGTCTGCTGGTCTCCACACACACAGGTATAATCGTCAGTATCCGTCACCTCTAGATTGTGGATCACCAGCTCTGCCATGGCACCTTCTAGTCTCATTTTGTATTTCTCACTTGCTTTGAGCACCTTGTGCCCTTTCTTCCACTCCACCTGAGCAGTTTTGGTCAGCTCACAGCGCAGAGTGGCAGCTTCACCTTCTGTCACTTCCTTGTTCCTCAATTCTTCTTTGAAACGTGCGGGTAGAGCTGAGGGCACAATAGATCTGATGTTAACACTTATGGAAGAATCCCAATTGGCTGGGATTCAGCTGATGAAATGGAGGTGGAGGAAAATGAGAAAAATACACAAAATGAAAGAGAAAAACTGAAAGGAATTTCCTTTACTTTCTCCTTTTTGAGGGGTGGATTGGCAATGCCCAGGAATTCTGACCCAAAGTTTTATCCCGTAGAAAGAAATGAATAGTAGGTAGGATGGAAGAAGCAACAGAGAAATGGCAAATTAATATCAAGCTCATTACATGATTCCAGGGGCTGACAGTTTGAGTTTCAGGAGTGATACTAGAAAATTAGTATTCATATTAGTATTGAATATTGATAGGGGTTTTTTTTACCATGTACTGTTAAAGCAGCTGTTGTCTTCTGATCCCCAGACACACAGATATAATCTCTAGCATCCTTCAGTTCTACATCATGGATAACCAACTCTGCAATGGTACCCTGCTGCCTCATTTTATATTTGTTACTTGTTTTGAGCACAACGTGCCCTATTTTCCACTCCACAGGAGCAGCTTTGCTTAGTTCACAGCGCAGAGTGACTGATCCACCTTCTGTAACTTCCTCATTCTTTAGTTCTTGCTTGAAAAGTACAGGCAGGGCTGGGGAATATGAAGTAAACAGACAATGCATTAAAACTGAAAAGTCTGTGGTAAGTGGCTAGGGTGACCAGACAGCAAATGTGAAAAATTGGGACCAGGGGTAGGGAGTAATAGGAGCCTATATAAGAAAAAGACCCAAAAATCAGGACTGTCCCTATAAAATCGGGACATCTGGTCACCCTATAAGTGGCTGGTACCATGTACTATGCTGAAGCCTTTCACCTCTCGTAACTTAGGATCAAATCTGGTTAGTTTTGGGATTTCACCCTGGCCATTCAGATTGTGGTCAATATCATTATGCCCTGGAAAATAAAGTTCATTTGACAATCACGGCACGGAGGAAGCTCAACATACAATGGATCAGCTTGGTTTGATGTGGACTATAAAAAGTGTGTGAGGAAGCATATATAATATGCGCCCTGCTCCACATCTACATTCAGTCCAGCCAGTCTCCACATTGGAGGATCACTAACATAGAATATTTTTTTTAATTGACCATCTAAGTCATATGGAAACAAGAAGTTCTCCTTTTTCAGCTACACACAAATTAATAAGAGCCCAAGAGAATTAGGTGAATCTTCTGTGGAACAATAATGAGTTTCACAGAAACAAATGGTAGAGTATTAAGCATTAATTTGGAATATATTATTTACCATTTACTATCAACGTAGCTGTGGTCTGCTGGTCGCCACACATGCATGTGTAATCTCCTGCATCCTGCAGACCTAGATCATGGATCTCCAGCTCAGCAGTGACACTATCCTGTCTCATGCTGTATTTTTCACTCGCCTTGAGTATCTTGTGCCCTTTCTTCCACTCCACTGAAGCAGGCTTGTTCAGCTCACAGTGCAGAGTGGCGGTTTTGCCTTCTGTGACTTCCAAGTTCTTCAGTTCTTCTTTGAAAAGTGCAGGCAGAGCTGAGGATCACAGAATGGACGGACAGTGCATTAAACATTGTAAGTGCCAGATGGCTGGTGTGATTAGGGGGAAATGGAAAAAAATTACATTGTAAAGAGGAAGCAAGAAAAACAGCATGAACAAAGGAAGCTAAGAACTCTTTGAGTTGAAATCAGCTTCCTTTCCTCACAATATATTTCAGGACTATTAAGGCACCCAGTGGAATTCCAAGGAATAAGACAAGCAATAAAGAGCAAAGTAACAAAAATTATAAATACATATAAACAAATTACTACTACTAAAAAAAAAAAGCTCCAGACATAGATGCAGGCACAATGACTAGCAGATGGGGTGGTAGGCAATTGAATTTTGATTTTTTGTTTTACCATGCACTATCAAGCCAGCAGTTGTCTTCTGGTCTCCACACACACAGGTATAATCTCCAGCATCCTTCGGTTCTACATCATGGATAACCAGTTTAACAACAGCGCCCTCCTGTCTCATTTTGTATTTGTCACTCGCTTTGAGCCAACTGTCCCCTTTCATCCACTCTACTTGAGTGGCTTTGGTCAGTGCACAGCGCAGAGTGGCCGTTCCACCTTCTCTAACTTCCTCGTTCTTCAGTTCTTCTTTGATGAGTGCAGGCAGAGCTGGAGGGCGTAAAAGACAGAGCATTAAAATGGAGCTCTGAGCACAACCACCAGAGAATAGGTGGAAGAGGGGCCATAGAAAACGTCACAGGCTGGAAGAAGGGGATAAAAGTAGAAAATGTCTTAGGGCGTGTGATGGGGTGGACTCCCCACATTGGCACTGCAAAAGCTGAATTGGGCCAAGTGGGTCTAATTAGCCAATTAGGCTGCAATCTGGGAGCAGTAGGCTTGGGAGGAAAGCCTTAATTAGGGGAAGCTCAACTGTGTGGGAATGGGTGCGACTTATAGAAAGACAGGAACTTGGATGCAGAGGGAGGTAGTCTGCAGGGAGGTGTGTTGGGGGGGAGACAAATACCTGCTGGTTACTCCCTGGGAGGAAGGAGTTGAGAGGCTGCCAAACCCAGAGGAGTGGGGAGGGCCATGAGGAAAGGAAGAGGCGCAGAGAAAGGCAGAAAGGTACAGGAAGAAATCACATCTTGGCTGCTGCTTAGAAGGTCCCTGAGCTGGAACCTGGAGTAGAGGGTGGGCCCGGGTTCCCTCTACCAGCCACCGAGGGAGTGGCACCTGGAGCAGCGAATGGGAGGACTGCCTGAGATTGCTGGTGAGCAGGGACTTTGCTACGCATCCCCAGAAGGGAAAACCACACAGTGACCTGGCCGGACAGCTGAGTCACAAAGCAGAAGCTGCAGTTCCTGGAGTCAGAGAGGGACCACAGAGGGAGAAACAGAATGCACCCACAGGAAGGCGCATGGGCTGCGCAGAGCTAATCCCCAGAATGGCCAGGATGGGGACCCGCCTACCGTGAGCAGAGCGCCCCGTCACATGGCCTGATCCCACACTTATTCTGTAATGAGTGGTAACTGGATCAGGCTGTTAACACAGATATTGTATTATGGAGTTGGGGGTACCGGGGAGAGAGGTTCAACAAAAAACAAATGAATGACGATGACTCCTATATGCAATAAATATAATAAAGGAAAAAATACAGAAATGACAAATTACACAAGGACAGATGCTTGAATCCACTGGATGAACCTGACAATTATGAAAGTTATTAGAAAATTATTAAATTTGATATGATACTTGTTATTACCATGTACTGCTAAGACAGCTGTGCTCTGCTGATCTCCACACACACAGGTATAATCACCAGCATCACTGTCATCTAGACTGTGGATCTCCAGCTCTGCAGTGGTATCCTTCTGCCTCATTTTGTATTTGTCACTTGGCTTGAGCACCTTGTGTCCCTTCTTCCACTCCACTGGCGCAGCCTTGGTCAGCTCACAGCGCAGAGTGGCTGCACCACCTTCTGTGGCTTCTTCATTTCTTAATTCTTCTTGGAAAAATACCGGCAGGGCTGAGGAACAAAGAGTGAGGAAACATTCTCACAACCTCCAGGGATGACTAATAAATTAAAATGAGGTTGATGGTCACAAGCTTCTGTCCATGTCTAAACATTCTTCCACTCATTATGGAATTGGCCACCTCATAAGTGGGTCAAGACTGGAAGAGCAAATGTGTTACTGGTCAGGATGATGACGGAAGGAGGAGAGTCAGGCAAGAACAGAGATTCAGGAGCTCTGAATTCAGCTCCTGGTTCTAGCCCAGAATTTCTTTGTGACCTTGGACAAGTGCCCCATGGGCAGGATGATAATACTTCCCTACCTGATAGGGAGATTGTGCAGATAAACCTGAATAATGTCTCAGATACTGCGGTGATGCGGGCCAAATAAGTAGACAAATATGCAGGATGTATTGTTAGAATTGTAAGAAAACTGCACAGAACCAGCTCCTTCTTGCAGTGTTACCATTCTGAGCCCTTCAAATTGTCAGCCAAATGTTAACAAATTACAACTTAAGACCTCTCGTCTCATTTAAGAAATATAAAAATTCCAGCCCCACCTTCTCTCCTGGCTCATTCTGAAACAAGCAACACAAAAACAATGCAAGTAAGTGAAATCCTTCTAGTAGAAGTATAATGTAAGCATGTGTAAACATGCGCAAATTAGATGGGAAATAGAAAAACACACAGGGTGTTAAGAGCAAGTACAAGAAGTAGGGCTCCAGTGAGTTAGATGGAGATCAGGAAAATGTATTATAGAAGAGTCATATTACAGTAAGATGAGAATGGGAGCTTAGTGGCTGTCAGTACTGAGTTTTCCAAAGGGGATGGTAGAAAAATCACACATTTAAAAAAAAAAAATCTGTTGTTTTTTTTTACCATGCACTATCAAAGCTGCCGTTGTCTTCTGGTCTCCACATACACAGGTATAATCGCCAGAGTCCCTGATGTCTAAATCATGGATGACTAGTTCTGCAATGGCACCTTCCTGCCTCATTGTATATTTGTCACTTGGTTTGAGCGCCTTGTGCTTCTTTTTCCACTCCACCGAAGCAACCTTGGTCAGCTGACAGCGCAGAGTGGCTCTCCCACCTTCCGTGGCTTCCTCATTTGTCATTTCTTCCTTGAAATGTGCAGGCAGAGCTGAGGAGTTCAGAATGGACAGAGTACATGAACAGTCACATTACGGCAACTACCTGGCACAGACCTTGAACACACAAACCCACAGGATTATCAAATTGTGATCCATGGACCACCAGTGGTCTGCAAAGCCTTCCCCGAAAGAGAATTAATCATACTGAGGACCACATAGTGGTGGGTTGGGGGGTTCGGAAAAGACCCTATCCTAAGGCAGATCTCTCTTTTATAAGATGCCCCACAGCTAGAGAGCCATCCTTGCCTTTCAGATCCCCTTCAGGGCAGGGACCTCTTTTTTACTGTATTTGTAGCGTGCCTACAACAAATCATTCTAAACCTGATTGAAGTTTCTAGGAGCTATTGTAATACAAATAATAAATAAAATAATAGGGTCACAAATGAAACGGCATTGGCTGACATCTCACTTCTCATTTAGATGTGTCCTTGCAATGTGCCTAGTTCAATATAACATGACTGTCAGAACCTCCCCAAGGAAATTCTTCTTTCGGATGGCTTGGGTAGGTAGCAACCATTATGAATTTATATCTAGATTTGATAGCCAGCACATGGCTGCAGCGGTGAGCTGGTGACTGTCGTTCAGGGCCCTGGCAAAAGAACGAAGGAGACGTGATGTGCTCCACTGCGTGTGTCTGGTGACCACAGTCGCATACAGGTGTTTGCCTCATTTTCCATTTGGAGAGAGTTTTAAAGAGCAAGATGACAACCTTCACGTGCTCCTGTTAAGTGTTGGTGGTTTTTGTGCTCTGTGCAAATTCACTAACATACCAATGTGGTCAACTAGCCGCTGGAGGTAACATTACTGACCTCCCAGTGAAAGTAGCCATGATTATATTTCCTGCCAAGGAAATGTAAGCAGTGTTCAGAATTCACAAGGAAATATTTCTCTGATCATGGTGTTGGCTTTTATCATGATGGTCCCCATTCTTGGAATGCAACATCATCACATTTATCGTGATATAATTAATGTTACTGTTTTAACACCTACTATTGAATATGAAAATCATAAGGATTTGTAGTTGAAATTGAGGTGTTTTTCCCAACTCTCTGTGGAAATGTCTGCAATGAGTGCATGACCAACATCTGGTCCAAACAATGCAAACAGTCTATTTCTATTTCCGCTAACATTTTGCTAAATTCATCAGCAATATTTAAGAAAATTACAGCACATGGATTTTAACTTTTTAGTTATACAGACTAAATTATCGCAGGCTGAAAGTAGGGCTGTAATCCAGTTGATGATACTATTATTTTTCACAGAACAGATAGTAGAAAATTATGCACTTAATTTGGGATATATTATTTACCATTCACTGTTAAGGCAGCTGTGGTTTTTTGGTCTCCATACATGCATGTATAATCTCCAGCATCTGTCAGATCTAAATCATGGATCACTAACTCAGCAATGGTGCCTTCCTGTCTCATTCTAAACTTGTCGCTTGGTTTGAGCACTTTGGGCCCCTTCTTCCATTCCACTGGGGCAGCGACCTTGGTCAACTCACAGTGCAGAATGGCTGCTTCACCTTCTCTGGCTTCCAAATTCTTCAATTCTTTTTTAAAACGTGGAGGAAGGACTGAGGAGCATAAGATGAACAGAGTGCATTAAAATTCAAGAAATAATTTCATCTGGGTGGCTCCAGTAGATTAGTGTATTAATCGTCAGTCTCTAGTCATTTGGGTTACAACATACAGTATCTAAGAACCAAATTAAAATGATTTCATGGGTCTCATTTGAGTCCCTGGTTGACATTTTTCCAGTGCACTAAGTTCAGCACGTTACGCCCAAACTGCAGTCTGTTCTCTGAGACAGTCAAGCTCAGTGTTGGAACAGCTGTGGTGTAGCAGGTTAGAACTGAGAGGCATCGTCTGACATATATAATAGAAGAAAGTTTGCCCTGAACTTTCAAGAAGGTACGCCTAGTCTCCGTGTGCTGTTATTAGGTTAGCATTTAAAAAGTATCCAATGTACTATTTAAAATTGCAAGCTATTATGGGTCACTTGGTTTCCCACTCATCTTCTCTCAAGTTACCTATTAAAATAAATGAAATCTCAGTAATATGATTAAAGAACTGAATTAAGGGGAAAACTCAAACTGTTGCATGTAATTTTGCCATGACTTAATTATTTACCCCCAAATTCTATTAACAAGACAAAAAGGAGCAAAAAACCCTCCGTGATGTTATACCAAACCCAAATAATGGCATTTACGTGAAGAAAATTCACAGTGGTTGTTATAAATACAGTAGCAATATAAAATGACAGATGATATCAAGATCAGTTTGTGATCCTGGTTGCAATCATAGATGACATTGTAGAAAATCCCATATTATTTTTTGTTTTACCATGCACTGTCAAGGATGCAGTGGTTTTCTGGTCTCCACACACACAAGTATAATCTCCAGCATCCTGTTCCTCCAGGTCATGGATTGTCAGCTCAGCAATGGCATCCTTCTGTCTCATTTTATATTTGTCACTAGCTTTGAGCACCTTTTGATCCTTCATCCACTCCACTGGAGCAGCTTTGGTCAACTCACAGTGGAGAGTAGCTGTCCCACTTTCTGTGGCTTCCTCATTTTTGAGTTCTTTTTTGAACAGAGCAGGCAGGGCTGGGGGATGTAATAGGGACAGAAAGTGCATCAAAATCCATAAACTCAGACTTTAATTCACACCGTTCTTTTAAATTACTAGATCTTGATTTATGCAGTGTTGTTGTAGCTGTGTCGGTCCCAGGATATTAGAGAGAAAAGGTGGGTGAGGCAATACCTTTTATTGGACCAACTTCTGTAGTTGAGAGAGGCATGCTTTCGATCTTACACAGAATCTCTCTCACCAACAAAAGTTGGCCCAATAAAAAATATTACCTCACCCACCTTGCCTCTTTAGATATTGATTTAGCAGCCTAACCGTAAGTGCGGCATTAAGACATAACTTCCAGAACATGATAATTGTCAGTTCAGTATCAAAAATATCTTTCATGAGAAGTATTCAAACAATCAGTAATAAGGTTTTTGATGGGCCTATAAACAACTACAGAGAAGATAGCTTGTGGGGAAAAGGAAGTGTGGGCTTGGCGTGAAAGAGAAGACTGCATTTGGGTTGGGAGAAAGAAGGAAGGAATAAAATGCAAGGAAAGAGGACAGGGAATAGACGTGCTTCAAAGGTTAAACTAGGATTTCAAAAGCATCTGAATGTTGAGACTTATCTAAACTGAAGAGGGCCTCTTAAGATTCACCCACTGATCGGCACTATAAGTAAATTAACACGGCTGATAGCGTAATTAAGACTGTTTTGTATCACTCACCATCAGGGGTGCTGGATCAATTTTTATAGTGGGGGTGCTGATGACAGAAATCATGGAAACCATGTATTTGGTGTTTGTTATTACTACTTCAAGCCAGGGGGTGCAGCAATACCCTAATTCCAGAACCACTGCTCACGACAGCAAAACTAGCAATCAAATTGCCATCGGCACCCATCCGATTGGATGTTGTAATTTCACCATTATCACATATCACTGTCACCGCCAAGAAATATTGGGAACCATTTAATCCCGAGAGTCTGATTTCTCCAAAAAGTCCATTACCAAATGGAAGCCAAAATTTTCAAATATGGTTTCCTCAAGTTAGCAGGGCCGGCTCCAGGGTTTTTGCCGCCCCAAGCGGAGCAAAAAAAAAAAAAAAAGCCGCGGGAGTGAGGGACCGTCCGCCGAATAGCTGGACGTGCCGCCCCTCTCCGGAGTGGCCACCCCAAGCACCTGCTTGGCAAGCTGGTGCCCGGAGCCGGCCCTGCAAGTTAGGCACTGAAATCCATTGACTTTGATGAGAGTCGCGAGTATTCAAATCCTCTGAAAATCAGGCCACTTTTATTTAGGAGCCTAAGTACATTCTTAGGGGCCTAGAAAATGTTGGCCTTACTAAGTACAGATAAAGTTTTTACCCTGTAAAGACACAAAATGGATCTAGAAAAGGAAGGCATCTGTACCCCCCTTTAGTTCACAATAAGGAAGACTATTTTAATACCAAGAGACATGGGTGAGGTGAAATGAAATACAGACCGGCACTATAGAAAGAAAAAAAGGAAAGGTGAAAACTAACTCTAAAACAGGTCAGGAAGGGAATTTCCAAAGGGAGTGAAACTCTCTGGAATATTTCTCTTGTGAGGTGGAATTTTTGTTTACCATGGACTGTCAAGACAGCAGAGGTCTTCTGGTCTCCACACACACAGGTATAATCATCTGTATCTTCTACATCCAGGTCACGGATCAACAGCTCTGCAATGGCACCTTCCTGTCGCATTCTGTACTTTTCACGGGGTTTGAGCGTTTTTTGCCCCTTCTTCCACTCCACTAGGACAGGGACTTTGCTCAGCTCACAGTGCAGAGTGGCTGTCGCACCTTCTGAGGCTTCCTGATTCTTCAATCCCTCTTTGAAAAATGCAGGCAGGACTGAGGGACAGCAATAAGGACAGTTGGATTTAAAAATCGGAAAAGTCAAAACTAAATGTTCCCCTCATTTTTCAGTTAATTCCTCCTGAGTTATCAGAACCGGACTATCAGCTGTCATTAGACCAGCTTCACTGCTCTCAAATAATCAGTTTGAGAAAAAAAACAGATAATCAGATAACCCCCGTCCCCAGAAATGCACTCAGTATTTGTAGAAAGGAGCAGAAGCCTCACACATTATCGTCACAAATCATTACAGAAGGAAGTGGACAAGAGGATCAGAAGAGCAGGTCAGAAAACCATTTTTTTCCCTGTGAAATTTCAAATGAAAAAAATCTTCATTCAAAACTTTTCAGTTGAAACATTTTGGTTTTTCCATGAGAAGTTTCAAAATGAATTTTTTCTTGTTTCAACTTGAGATTTCTACAGAAAATGAAATGCCATTCTATGTCAAAACAAAACAAAGTCTCATTTTGAAAAATGTTAATTTGAAAAGGAAATTTTGTTTAGCAATATCCTGATGGAAACAAATTTTTTTTTACCTGATTTGACCTTTTTCCCCATAAAAATAAATGTCTGTTTCAGCAAAACTATATTTTTCAGTGGGAAAACTTTCCATATGAAAAGTTTTGACTCGCTCTATTTGTGAGAGCATGGGAACTCTACAGCAATGCCCTTTACATACAGGACTGTATGTAATCACTTTTCTGTCTCAAAGTTGGAGCACAGGGAAAGAATCAATGTTTCTTAAGGACAGAATGGGATGTAACTTTTCAGTTTGTTGTAAAGCCTAAATACACCTCTACCTCAATATAACGCTGTCCTCGGGAGCCAAAAAATCCTACCGCGTTATAGGTGAAACCGCGTTATATCGAACTTGCTTTGATCCGCCGGAGTGCGCAGCCCCGCCCTCCCGGAGCACTGCTTTACCGCATTATATCAGAATTCGTGTTATATCGGGTCGCGTTATATCAGGGTAGAGGTGTATTAGTCAGGCTATAGGTCTTACTAAGCTAACAGCTTATTGGGAGCATGAGTAGAACAATAACTCCAACAAAGAAACTTCCAGTGAAGAAACAATGGCCTGGAAACAGAAAAGCAGCAGCGGTTCTGGCTATGCAGGGTCCCATTCTTATGGGTTTGTCCGATTCTTATCTATTCCCACTGTTTTTGTGTCTCTGTAAGAGTTTGATCCAAACCTGACTGAAGTCAATGAGCAGCTTTTCATTGACTTCAATAAGCTTTGAATCAGGACCTTAGTGAGAAATGAAAAAGGTGTATAGGTTACATCGGGAAAGGAGTGTGTTTATCCAAAGCAATGGAGGGAAAAACAATTATTTTTAGGATGCTTCTTCTTTTACCATTTACAGTGACAGACGCCATGGTCTGTTGGTCTCCACACACACAGGTATAATTTCCAGCATCTGTCACTTCTAGGTCTTGGATTATCAATTCAACACCACCACCTTCCCGTCTCATTTTATACTTGTCGCTCAGTTTGAGGGTCTTGTGTCCCTTCTTCCACTCCACGGTAGGAGCAACCTTGTTTAGCTCGCAGCGCAGAATGGCACTTTCGCCTTCTGTAGCTTCTTGATTCTTCAGTTCTTTGGTGAAAAGTGTAGGCAGAACTGCAGAATGAATGTGATATGGACAGAAGGGCATCAGAGCGGAGAAACTCAGAATTACGAATGCTCTCCTCTGTTATCTAAGTCAATGCTGTCACTGTAGCCCCAAAGACTGAATTTTTTTTAAAGGTCTCATTGGGCTTTTGATTTTGTGCCCTCAATTGTGCAGGCTTATTTTATAGCAGTTCAACATCTATCAATCTGATTTGTTGATAAAAATCAGGTGATTATCTATCAAAATGCTACATAACCATTAGTATTTGTCTCAGCAAAATCACAGGCGTACAATCAGAGGCCACTTTTCAATATCAGGCCCAAAATGTTTTCCCTTGACATAAATAATATCCATGCAGATTAGTATCTGGTTTATTACAGTGTCTGTGTTCTCTCTAAAATAGAACTCTTTAGAAGGGAACATAACTAGAAACCATGGTGTCAACTTATTGCAGAGCTAAAATATTTTAGAGGGGCCGAGAAACAGTTCAAAATAAGTGATGGAATCTACAATAGCATAAAAAAATTGACCATTTTCACTAAACTATCCTCTATGTAACGGCATAAGATGATCATCATCATCTGGTCACCTTAAGAACCCAGACCCAACGTTCCAAGTAATTTGAAGTGAGAGAATATAGTCCCATTTTGTAAAACGATCCCTAAGGAAAAACTTTCAAACAATCACATATACAGACCAAAAGACTAGACTGAATTTGTATTTGAGTTGGGGAAAAGAAACATTTAGTTGTCTGTACTACCCTTGACATTTTTACATATATTGCCTATGAATGCAATTACATGCAGCTCTCGAGGGGAAGAAAGAGAGGGAGAACGCAAAGAAAGATAAAGAAATTAAATACACATGGATACCATGAGTGGAATGAAGGTGGGGATAAAACATTATATTGGAAAAGGAATTTGAAAGGGGAGGAAATTATAGAGTTATATTGTTTTATATGGGACATATGCTGTGTGTTTCTTTTTACCATTCACTGTCAAGGTAGCTGTAGTCTGCTGTTCTCCACACACACAAGTGTAATCTCCAGCATCCGTCAGATCCAGATCATGGATCAACAGTTCAGCAAAGGGACCCTCCTGGCTTATTTTGCATTTTTCACTTGGTCTGAGAGCCTTTTGTCCCTTCTTCCACTCCACTGGGGCGGGCTTGCTCAATTTACAGTGCAGAGTGACTGTCCCACCCTCTGAAACTTCCTCGTTATTCAGTTCTTCTTGGAAAAGTGCAGGCAAGGCTGAAGAACGCAATATAGACAGAGACTGTATCAGAACCAGAATGCAGTGAGTAGGGTTTTTTGTGGGTCATCAGATTGTGATAACCCATTTTTTTTCCAATCACACCATTTCAAAGCCCTAAAAGAAGGAAACTAAGCAAAATATACAGTTAAATACACGTGCATCATTCCTTGAATGGAGACAGCTTGTAGCAATAAGGATGAGAATAAGTTGTGCATATAAAAGAAAAAGAATTGAGGGAACATAGCTGGACTGTGGCAAACCAATACCACAAGGGGGAATGTTCTTTATCAAGGTGACCCAGCGTCACCACAAAGCTGAGGATAGGAGTCCTCTTTCCAAAACTGCACTGAACAAGGGATCAGAGGAGCAGCCATGGATCAGTGTGAATGCTGAATGCCAACATCTTGAGTTCCACAGAGGAGATAAATATAAAACAACCTATTTAATTTGGGGCACATTTACCATTTACTGTTAGAGCCGCTGTTGTCTTCTGGTTGCCACACACACAAGTGTAATCTCCAGCATCCGCCAAATCTAGGTCTTGGATAATCAACTCAGCAAAGCGGCCTTCCTGCCTCATCCTGTATTTGCCACTTGGTTTCAGCACCTTTTGATCCTTCATCCACTCAACTGAGTCAACAGCCTTGGTCAGCTCACAGTGCAGTGTGGCTGTTCCACTCTCGGTGGCTTCCTCGTTCTTCAGTTCCTTTTTGAAACGTACGGGTAGGGCTGAGGGACACAGAACGAACAAATATTTCATCCAAATGCCTCAAACTCGGAACTACAAAGTGTTTTCCTTGGGCAATGACTGAACTGTAATTTATTTTTTAACTCCATGAGCCTCATCACAACACTCTTACACCAAGCATGATCTGGCATTTGTCTAGCTGGAAACAATAGCTTTCAGGTGGATTGTTCTCTGGGAATCAAAGTCCCCAGTAAAGCAAGACTTTTGTGACAGACAACAGAGGAAGTGATTGACTGTACTTAATCCCCTCAACAGAGAGGTTGATAATTGCCCAAGGGGTCTCATGCTTCAGTACTAATTCAGTAAAATATACGTGCATGCTCTTTGCCTGGTTAGCATTCTTTAGAAGACTTTATATTGCACACACATGCACTGAATTCTGTCAGGGTAGAGAACAAATGGGTATAGGAGCCACAGCACGATGTGCAAAGAAGAACAAAGAGAAGGACAAGAAGGACACAGGTAAATTTTGTTAGGAAGTAGGTAAAAGGGGGGAAAACTCTCAGGAGTGTCATTTTTTATGACTTTTTACCATTCACTGTTAAGGCTGCTGTGGTTTTTTGATCTCCCAATACACATGTGTAATCTCCAGCATCCTTCAGATCTACATCGTGGATGACCAGCTCAGCAATGGTGCCTTCTTGTCTCATTCTGTATTTGCCACTTGGCCTGAGCCCCTTAGGCCCCTTCTTCCACTCCACTGGAGCGGCTTTGCTCAGCTCACAGTGCAGAGTGGCTGTTCCACCTTCTGTGGCTTCCAAGTTCTTCAGTTCTTCTTTGATGAGTGCAGGCAGGGCTGAAGGAGGAAGCATGCATTTATATGACGTGCATCAACATAATATGGTTGCACTGTGCATGGCATAGTACACTGAGACAAGGAACAGTTACATGACTCTCTTTCAGTGCCATGACTTTATAAGGATATTGAAGGTGGTGGAATCTCCTTCCTTAGAGGTTTTTAAGGTCAGGCTTGACAAAGCCCTGGCTGGGATGATTTAGTTGGGGTTGGTCCTGCTTTGAGCAAGGGGTTGGACTAGATGACCTCCTGAGGTCCCTTCCAATCCTGATATTCTATGATTCTATGACAAGGACGGCATGGGCAAAAGGCTACATAAAAGGGGAAAGTGAGCTGGCACTTAAGGAAAAGCCTGGATAAATGGAGAGGTCTGTCTCCAGAGCTGATAAATTGGCATGTACATTAGCACACAATTAATTTTTTGGGGAAAAAAAAGAATTAAACACAATTTAAAATAACTGTTGCCAAACAGTTACTCTGCCAAAGAACCTGCTTTTTAACTCCCTGCAAAAAAACTGTTCTTTAAAATCAGACATTTTGCCCCACAGGGCCTTTCAGCTAGATTGTCGAGTTCGGACAAGTGCCTTACTCCAGAGCAGAAAAGAGGTTTTACTGCAATAATTATTTCAAAGCCATTGACAGATATTATGTTGTCAACAAAAGGTCATTTGACTGATATTTCTTGATAGGAGGGTTACCTAGAGAACACAACAGAAAATCAGGACCAGCCTGGGCTGCCTCTCCCTCAGACCCGCCACCCCACCTCCGGATCCAGAACTATGCAGGGGAGGCCCCCTGCCCTGGGGCCACTAAGACCCATGCAGTGGCCCTCCTCCCTCCAGCCATGTGGCTTTGTGGAGAGAAATTGCAGGGAGGAGCCAGCCAGAGACTCAACCTGTTAGGACTCTTAGGAGCCTCTGCAGAAACTGTTTAAGCTGAGTACTTTGAACACTGGCGATGTCATCATCATCATCATCAATACTTTTTACAGGTTTGACTGGACATTTTCTGCCTGTGCTGACTGGCGGTTTGCTCCAGCTCTCTCTCACGGACTCCTCACCTCAGCATCACGCCACATCTGCTCTTCATACTCTCCTCCTTCCTTCCTTGCCCAACCATCCCCTTCCCTTCAATGTTCCCTCTCCCTTCCTGTGTCTTTGTATTTTAATGCTGCCAACTAACCTCTCACATCCCTCCCAAAAAATCATGGAACTAACACGATGTTTGCCACTGATTGCTCTGCTTACGTATTATGTCATTACCCCCAACCCATCATCAGTTCTCTCTATCTAGACTATCAGCTCTTCAGGGCAGGGACGATCTGCCCCTCTGTGTTCGTTCAGCAGCTTGCACGATGGTGCCCATTTTAGTCAGTCCCTAGGCACTACCATAATAAACATGATTAATAGCAACAACAGAAAGCAATGAAAACCTCTACCGTGGATTTTGACTTGAGCAGTCGTCTGCTGGTCTCCAGAATCACAGGTGTATCTTCCAGCATCCTCTGGCTCTGCATTGTGAATGAGCAGCTCTGCCACACAACCCTTCTGCTTCTGCTCATATTTGGCACTCTCCTGGAGTATGGCTCCTCCCTTCTTCCACACCACTCGGGCATCGGGTTTAGTGATCTCACAGCGCAAAGCTACGGTGCTCCCCTCTTCCATTTCTGTGTTCTGCAGGTTTTGTTTAAAAAGGACTGGCAAAGCTAAAATATACAACCAGAGGTGATCAATATTGTGTACAGACCATCTCCACCACGCCCATGTGACAATGCTCTGATATGGTCTACCCTTTCAACCCCAATCAAGAAAGATGGCCAATATGTTTAAAACTAAGAGGAAGTATTATTATTATTATTATTATTATTATTGGTCTTGTGACAGGCAGTGTGGTGTATTCGGGTATGGAACAAGTGCAAATTCCTTTCAATTGTATAAAACAAACAAAAGGAAGAACTTCTTTGCAAAATGCACAGTCAAGCTGTGGAACTCATTGCCAGGGGATGTTGTGAAGGCCAAAAGTATATTTGGGTTCAAAAAAGAATTAGATAAGTTCATGGAGGATAGGTCCATCAATGGCTATTGGCCAAGATGGTCAGGATGCAACCCTACGCTCTAGGTGTCCCTAAACTTCCAAATGCCAGAAGCTGGGACTGGAGAACAGGGGATAGATCACCCACATTGCTTTAGTGTAATGTGAAATTGCACTAAAGCAACACAGATATTACTGAGAACATATATTGTGGTTAAACCTTAACTATGGACCCATAACTGGCACCTCTATAATAAAGAACTGCTGTTAAATTATAGCACATGTATTAAGTACGGCATAAGTAAAATAAATTGAGATCTACCAGCTCTGCCTACCATTTACTTCCACCCGAGCAGTTGTCTTTTGTTCTCCGGTGCTGCAGGTATAGTCTCCAGCATCTATTGATTTGGCATCTTGAATAATGAGCTCTGCAACAGTGCCGTGTTGCTTTAACTCATACTTGTCACTGGGTTGTAGAACTGTATCTCCCTTTGTCCATTTCACGGGGATGTCAGGTTTGCTAAGCTCACAGGTCAGTTTGACTTGGCTTCCTTCTTTAGCTTCCTCATTCTGGAGTTCTCGTTTGAAAAGAACTGGCAGAGCTAAAAATGTAGAATTGCAGACTGTGACCATTCAAGAAAACAAGAGTGCCGGGAAATCACTTTTCCCCTTTTTGCTTCATCCCACACGAGCCCTTTCACGTAAGATATAGAATCACAGAATACCAGGATGAAAAAGTGCTTAGATTCTAATAATCCATCTCCAGCTGTCAGTGCAATATATTATTAACAACAACACAAATATTATTTAAATGGTTTAAACACTTAATAACATGAGATCTCTATAGCATGTGGAGACGCTCTAAGGGCCCAATCATGAGGGAAACTGGACATCTTCAACTCCCCTATATCGCTATTTCCATGCCTGCTTCATGCTGTGAACTACTGAATACACAGACGAGGGGAACTGTTTTACACCATTTTTGTCACTGCAGTTAGTTAAAGGTACTTTCTCTAGTACTACATTTTGCAGATGTCAGTCAGGAATGTAAGAAGTTGGACTACACTCCGGACAGGTATTCAGAGCTAGCCCATTGCCATGTAAAAAAAGAGAACTAGCAAGGTAAAATAATATAATACATACAGAAAGAGAACACAAGGATAGGACAAACAGCATGACAAATAATAGCGGACACATTCATTTTCCCAGTCAAGGATCCCTTCTCCTTATAGGAAGCCAGACACATTTTTATCAGACATCAAGATGTACTAACTTAGCAAACACTGCAAAGCATACACAGAGAGAAAGCTGAGCAGGTAGATAAAAGAGTCCCATGGAAGATTCCTACACAGCCTCTGTCAGAGACAGTGATTTCAGACAGCAAAGTGAATTGGTGAAGAGTAGGTGGCATCCAACGTTTCTGGTAGTGTTGACTGTGGAAGAGGAAAGAGGAAACATCTGGTGGGGTTTCCCGCTTCAGACCAGTTACAGTAGAAAGTGCTGTTGCTTGATGGTCTCTGTTTTCACGAACGTGTTCACTATTGTCTTCTAGTGCAAGGTTAAGAATGTGCAGCTCGGCACTTACACTTTCTGATTCCTCACACACTAGTTGCTTGGCTGAAGAACGACAGCTCCTTTCCTCCATTCCACTTTCAGCCCTACTTCAGCACACTCACACCTTTCATGTGGCACTGCCTTTATCTACCACTTCATCATTCTGGAACTCTTGAGTGAACTTCCTGGGTTCATAGCTGGAAGGGTCATGGCAGTACAATGTGTTATAACATGTGTCCTTATCCCGTGGGTCATCTACATCTACTGTTCCACTGGGGATCTTTTGAATCCATTCACTTAAATCCTTTAACCCTCAAGAGGAGAAATTTCAAATCGATTGTAGCTGCTGTGTAACATAAAACATTGCATTTGTTTTCTTGACAAAAATATCCTCTCCCTCCAAGTGTCAGAGCGAGTTCCTATTGAAACCAATGGGGGTGTTTCTATTGTCTTTAATGGGAGTTGGATCAGTCCCCTAGTGTGATAGAAAAGCATAACGAACAAACCAAGATGAGTGACAACCATAAAGCTCTCCTTCATCACATTGTTAAGACAGTCCTTCCTTCCATTTTTAGGGCAAAATCCTGCTCTCCAGAACTCAGTTCTAAATGGTGCTCTCCCCACGTACCTGGAGGACTCAGTGACATTCACGGGAGATGAACACACATAAGGAAGCTGACTGAAAATCAATGTGCGTAACTGAGAAGGGTATTTTCCTTTCAGCTCAGTAAACTACACCCAGCCCCAGCCCGTCTATCCTTGCACTCCAAAGCTCATTTCAATCTCAGAACAAATGTTTTTTCTATTTTACACTTTGTCACCTGTCTGGAGGCTGTCCAGCTGAGTTAGTCAGAACATATCCTGCATTACAGTGTGAAGAGATGGAGTTAATTTTCAGTTCAGTTGCAGCCAGGTGTTAAATTGTTATTTTGACCTTTATGTTAGGCATCATCACTCCAAACGTCCTTACCCTTGACAGTGACAACTGCACTACTTTTAGCTGTTCCAGCCTCACACTCATATCTGCCACTGTCTCTCTCTTCTGTCCCATGAATGACAAGCGTGGCTTCAAATCCCGACCGGCTGATCTTATACTTAGAGGAGTTTCTAAGGGTCTTCCCATCTTTGCACCACTTTACCGGGCTGTCTGATTTGGAGGTTTCACAATGAAGAAAGGCATCCTCTCCCTCAATGATTTCGGCATCAGCAAGCTCCTTTGTAATGATGCAGGGCTTCTCTAGAATCACATAAAACTTGTCTGAGATTTTCAGAGGGAGGGGAGCAGCACATTCCTTACATGTGATTATTTGTACCAAAGATCTGGTTCAATATTCTGCAACATCATTATCGGAAAAGAACAATTTGGGGATGGGAGGCATTAAGCCCTCATAGTGGGGCTTTCTACCCCTAGACATGGTTTTGAAAATGCCTGGTACAGTATGGCAAAATCCAGGGGGCAAATGTCTCCGTGGACAAATATGAATCAGGGATAAGTCATCTACGAGAGGCATTGTTTAACATTAACTAGGGAGAAGCATGAATTTCACTAGCTCAGGAAAATTCCCCTAGATACCCTTCAGTATGAACAATGCACAACATGATGCTTCTGCCTAAACAATAAGTGTACATGTTCACAGTGAGAAAACTGATCTGACATGAAGAGCATGGCAATGCAAATTGGTCAGAATCAATCAACTGTTGACTTTTGGCTTCTCAGTGGTTTTTAAAGAAGTGAATCAGAAACTGGTTTTTGCCAGCAGATCGTGACACGTTTTTGCCACTTACATGCCAGTGTTTTGCTAGTAAAAGCGGCTTTTTTTGCTTTCTGAAAACAGCTGCTCATTCTGCAGAACAACGTCAATGTTATAAAATGGTGCAAAGTTTCACCCTTCCAAAACGGTTCACGTGATTCTTCAAAAAGTGTTCAATTTGATGCAGCAGAAACCAAGTATTTTACTCAGCTCTGCATACTGAAGAATTATTTTATGACTCGAAGAGGTACACAGGATGGATCCTGAATTCATTACATTCAGGTCATGTGGCCTCATTGACGCTCTCCACTTGCCTCTGTCTCTCTCCCTTGTTTCTCAATCCTGACTTCTCTAACTAAAGAGTTATGCTTGGGGGGAGGGATAGCTCAGTGGTTTGAGCATTGGCCTGCTAAACCCAGGGTTGTGAGTTCAATCCTTGAGGGGGCCACTTGGGGATCTGGGGCAAAATCAGTACTTGGTCCTGCTAGTGAAGGCAGGGGGCTGGACTCGATGACCTTTCAAGGTCCCTTCCAGTTCTAGGAGATGGGATGGGATATCTCCATAAAGAACTCACATCACAGAACCTAATTTATAGCATTTACTGCTCTCTCTCCACCTGCACACATATACCACTACCCAGTGCTGGCCTGTACTCTCTTTATCCTTTCCTGCAGCCTTTATGCTTGAATTACCTTTAACAACCAAACTGGCAGATGTTTTCTTATCACCAGCTTCAAAGGTAATGACCCCCGAATCCTTCAGTGACAGTTTTTTCAAGGTTAGCAAGTGATATCCTCCAGGCTGAGACTGGGTGTCATTAAGTTCATTGGTATGGAGTGGGGTTTTATCCAAAAACCACTGCACATTGCTATATTCTACCGGAGAGATTCTGCATTTGAACATGGCAGATTCTCCTTCTACCACATCAACATCTTCCAGATCTTCGGTTATTAGTATTTTCTGGCCTGAAAGGAACACAGACATATCAATTGCTGGACTCCTTAGCTTCTATCCCTGTGTTCGGATAAAGGCAAAGGGGAATGCCAATGATATGATCTCCAGCACGAGTGCTTTTGTGAAAAGAACAGGATTCCTGGGACAGAAGGTTTAAATACAATTCCACTGTTATGGAGCAAAGAATTCAAAGAAAATAAATATTTACAGGGCATACCAGAACAGGATGAAGACAAATTCAGGACACTAAGCTACATGCCACTGATTTGTAAAGATTCCAGTACACACTCAGGGGAAAATTACAATTCTAATATTTTAATCTCCCCAGAATATCAGAAATGAAATCCACTACCTGGACCTGAGAAAAGAATGAGGCCCTAAATATGCCATGTGTTCTGGACATCTAGGTTCATTGAATAGATGTTCCCAAAACCCCTGTCTTGATTTATCATATTTTGCTAGACCACATACAACTTTCTTCTTTAGTGCTACCAGTCAGATTCCAACTTCTCTGTAAACAGCCAAATGACAAACACACTGATGAATGGAGATGTAATTTGGGAACTATGTTAGTAATTTATCTGTCAAAGGAAAAACAAGAAGCAGTCCTGGAAATCAGTCTAAGAGCAGGAAAAAAAAGATTATCTATAGATAAAGATAGTCCTGCTGTCACTGTGAATTACAACATAAATTCAGGAAGTGTTAATTTGGGGGGAGGGATAGCTCAGTGGTTTGAGCATTAGCCTGCTAAAGCCAGGGTTGTGAGTTCAATCCTTGAGGGGGCAATTTGGGGATTGGTCCTGCTTTGAGCAGGGGGTTGGACTAGATACCTCCTGGGGTCCCTTCCAACCCTGATATTCTATGATTCTACTGTACCACAAAAACCAAGGTACTCCCATAGTTTTCATGGATGAAGCTTGTTCCACATTTTCAGTCATATATTTGAGCTTAATAACATTGTCCTTTCTAGTGGTTAAATCAAATATTTTATAGGTCAACAAAGTTGTTTAAAGTCGGCATTAGAAATCTTTCACACTGTGCAACAGACGCTGTACGATGTCTTATGCAAGACCCTGGGTCCTCCCTATTTTAGGGTAATTTGGTGCTTTTGGAAAGCTAGAGGGTTGCACACTGTTTCTTTTGTAAGCTGAACTGGCAGATAATGGGAGGGGCAAGACTGTTGTGTCTATCCCTGAATCCATAGCAATTTTACAAGACACTGCCACGGAACCTAAAATTGTATTGTTAAATCATCTAAGCTGCTCCTCCTCTTCTCTTTGTTGTTTTATCAGTTTCGTTTCAATAACAATTTCCCCTGGATAGCGTCCTTTTGGTGCTGCAATCAGAGGAGCGTGAGCGCCTCTGTAGGTTGGGACATCAGAGGTAACTCAACCAGTCGCCATTCACTCCCTCCAATAACTTTAACCCTAACCTGAAAACCCTAATCCTGCTGCTTGCCTCGGGCATCTTTCCCATTGACCGTGCTTATTTGGTGCTGAGGACAAGGAATCCCTCTTCCTGCCCCACTAAATGGGCACCGTTTAGATTAACTAAAACAGTTTTATCTGAGCAAAGGTACATAATCTTGCCTGAGGCAGGTGTCGTGGGGAGGGAAACACAGTGCCATTCTGCAGCCTCACCCTGCCCCAGTCAATTTAGCTCCAGATCTGAAACAGCCCCTGCTATTCCAGTCCTGAACCCCCACACCCTCCAATTCTGTCAAAGCATCTCAATCCTGACCTGCAGTTTCATTTCAACCAATGGAACTGAAGCATGCAAATTAACTAGATGGAGAGAGTGATGATTGCTTGAATTACCTCTGATGTCACAATGCTCCTCTGCCTGCATCACCAAAATGAGCACTATGTGGAAATCCCCAAGTTCTGGTTTTTCGACTATCAACAGAGGTCATCCCAGCGGTTCACCGCTCACATCCCTCTGCCCATGCCGCTTCCCGCAGCCCCCATTGGCCTGGAACGGCGAACTGCGGCCAGTGGGAACCGCGATCGGCCAAACCTGTGGATGCAGCAGGTAAACAAACCGGCCTGGCCTGCCAGGGTGCTTACCCTGGTGGGCCGCGGGCCAAAGGTTGCCAATCCCTGGCCTAAAACATTCTCTGAAATGTTAGACTTGATTGGAGGTGGTATTCCAAGGTTATTGCATTACTGACATAGAAACAGAGGAGTTCAGTTTTAGGCCTCACTTTGTTTGGCCACCTAGAAGGTCACACAATTCATTGCTTCTGTAGGCTAAACTCATTGCACTCCTGGGGAATATTTAGATTTTGACGAATCAGGATATTCTGATGGGAAAATTTCCAACCAGCTCTACCCCTAACCCGCCTAACCCATACCCTGTCTACCCCCTTCCATCTCCTCATGCCTAAGGGTCTGTGAGTTCCCCATTTCCAGCTGCCCCCTTACTAAGGTTCCCATTCTCTCCTCCCACTCTCTCCGCTGGTCAGGAGATCTGTGTGTGCCCCGTCTCCCCCATGAACATTATCACATTACAGACAGACAAAGAAATGCCATTGAGTCAAGCATTAGGCCTCACTTCACCTGGCCAATTAATATGCATTAGTGCACAACCGACACTAAATTACAGACGGGTAGAAAATTAATTCAGCTACTTGAAAGTGCAAAATAAAATGTACCAATGGGCCAAAAGTATGTCCCTTGTCCCTGACCCAAGTGCACATGTTTGGGACAGGGGTTTGCCACAGGGCTCAAGAGAAGCAAATCCTTCTTCCGTGGCAGAAGAACGATTCTCCAGCTATTACCACTTCCTGAAGACTGCAGCAGCCATTCTGTATACAGGCCCTGTGCAGAACTAACCAAACACACACACACACCCTTTGGCTCCACAAATCCAATCAATCACAAATAGACACACACAAACTCGTGCCCATTTTTTAAATTGCACCCAGAGCATTTCAGGCCTAAATTTTCAAAAGTGACTAGTGATTCTGGGGGCCCAATTCAAGTCACCTTAAAGGGGCCTGATTGTCAAGGGTGAATGCTCAGGCAGTTTCTGAAAGGCAGTCTCCTTCAAGGAGTCTGAATCTGGGCACCAAAAAAAATGGAGGGGCTAAAAACCACTAGCCATTTTTGAAAACATGAGCCTCTAGGCCAGAGGTGGGAAAACCATGGCCCGCGGGTCACATCCGGCCTGCGGGACCCTCCTGCCCAGCCCCTGAGCTCCTGGCCCGGGAGGTTCACCCCCGGCCCCTCCCCTGCTGTTCCCCCTCCCCCACAGCCTCATCTCACTGCGCCGCAGGCGCAATGCTCTGGCCGGCGGGGCTGCGAGCTCTTGCCGGGCAGCGCAGCTGCAGAGCTGTGGCCTGACCCAGTGCTCTGTGCTGCACGGTGGCAGGGCTGGCTCCAGCCAGGCGGCGTGGCTGTCTGTCCTGGTACTCTGGGCGGCACAGCTGTAGCGCCGCCAGCCACTAGTGCTCCAGGCTGCGTGGTAAGGGGGCAGGGAGTGGGGGTGTGTGTGGATAGAAGGCAGGGGAGTTCGGGGGGGTGGTCAGAGGATGGGGAACAGGGGGGGTTGAATGGGGGCAGGGGTCCCGGGGGGGAAGTCAGGAAGGAGGGGGGGGTTGAATGGGGCAGCGGGGGGCAGTCAGGGGCAGGGGTTCCGGAGGCGGTCAGGGAGAAGGGGTGGTTGGATGGGGCAGGGGTCCCGGGGGACAGTCAGGAATGAGAGGAGGGGGTCCGGGGGCGGTCAGGGGTTAGGGAGGGGTGGATGGGGCAGGGGTCCCAGGGGGCCAACAGGGGACGGGGGGGTTGGATGGGGCAGGAGTCCTGGGGGAGCCGTCAGGGGGAGAGAAGCAGGGTGGGTCGGATAGGGGGCAGGGGCTGGGCCACGCCTGGCTGTCTGGGGAGGCACAGCCTCCCCTAACTGGCCCTCCATACAATTTCAGAAACCCGATGTGGCCCTCAGGCCAAAAAGTTTGCCTGCCCCTGCTCTAGGCTGTAATCCGATTGGCATTCCTTAACTCACCCTGCTCAGCTGCCAGTAAGTCGAGCTCAGCATTATAACACACACACTTTCTGCCATCTGACAGTTGTGCGGTACTTGGTCATGCATTCAAGCCGTTCATACCTTGCACGATCAGCTTGGCTCTAGACTGGGCCTCGCCAACATCGCAGGTGTAGGTGTCACTGTCGCTTTTCTCTAAGGCATTAATAGTGAGCTGCAGGATGGTCCCTTTCTGGATGATCTCGTATTTCTTGCTTGTCTTGAGCTCGACCATCCCTTTCCGCCAGGTCACTGTGGGTGCGGCTTTCTCAGTCTGACACATAAAAACAGCGACTCCTTTTTCATCAGCTTTCAGATCTGAAAGCTCCTTCACAAAGCGATTGGGTTTTTCTGAGGAAAGTGACAACAAATGGTTAGCCCAACATAGTCCTCAAGTACATCATAAACACCCTGGACCGAAGTCTCCACTGCTTTGCGATCATTTACAGCTGTCCAAAGTGAGATCGGATCAGAACGGTAGCACTTTTACATCTACCATGCACAGGTGTGTAAATGACTGTACAAGGAGAAAGGCTGTTGAGAATCAGACGCTTGTAAAGAAACAAAATGTCATTAGTCTCCTTTCTCTGTGGCCACTTGTAATGGGTATGCCTATGGTCTGTTATAGAATTGAAAGACAATGTACTAAATTCCATGGCAAGAAATTCTCTCTCTTCCTGGTGAGAAATTTGAAGATATCCAGATGTAGTTCACTAGCCCATAGTACTGAAAAGAGACATGTACAATGAGTTTAGGGATAAATCCGGGCCTCCATTTGAATTACAACTGCTGGTCTGATTTTCATAGATTTTAAGCCCCTCTGAAAATTAGGCCACATTATAACAATGTTACCTCTTAAGACAAAAATTTTGGATTGCCTTGGAATTGGTTTGATATTTTTCAAATTATACAGCACTGAGCACACTGTCAGAGCTTGATGTACCGTATATACTCATTCATTAGCCCATTCGTTTATAAGCCGACCCCCCAAGATGGATAGGTAAAAATAGGAAAAACTGTATTACCCTTTCATAAGCTGACCCTATATTTCAGGGGTTGGCAAACTTTGGCTCCTGGCCCGTTAGGGTAAGCCGCTAGCCGGCCTGGACATTTTGTTTACCTGGAGTGTTCACAGGCACGGAGCCCCTCAGCTCCCAGTGGT